GGGGGGGGGGGTAATCCTTGTATATACAAACTGCACTGGAGGAAAGACACCATTATAAAATTTATTTTTCATCATTGCATACATACTAATTTTTTCCTAATTCAAGCTGCTATAGATTTGCTTACTGTATATATGTTTAACTGATAAATTCTTATTTTGAACTTTTGCAGATAACAAATCTCTATGAGGGACTGAAGTCACAACTTGGTAAAATGCCAAATATCAACTGCTACTGGAATAAGGTGAGCACTGAAATACTTGTTTATGGAATGGAACACATACAGGGCAAAAAAATGGAGTAGATCTCCTGTAAAATAGCTTTTTTATGGTACATCTATAAATGCCTTCCTATCAATGATTTGGGAACCAAATTTAACTTCCCTTGAGAAAAGGCAAATTTCACCTGCTCACAAATCATTTCTTGACATTTTCAAACATGTACTGTATGTATACCTTTAAGATACACCTATTGACATGTATACCAGTTAAACATTATACAGTCTTATGGCTTTTTATTTTGGACTTTGCCTCAGATGTTTCCTTAATATAGAACATGAATTATAGTGTAATATTCCTTGATGATATTTCAGAAAAAACACACACAAAACCTGATAGAGGTGGAGCTGTGTGTGGACAAGAGTTTTAGCATAATTGACTGTAATAGCAATGAAGACACCAACCTATACTTCAGCAGTAAGAGTGAAAGGATGAAAGTGCCACATTACAAGACACAGAAGCTGGAATTTGGTTTGGGTGAAACAGAACCATGCCGCCCCAGTGAATTAACTTGCTATCCTGTAATCAAGCATACCTCATAAAAACTAAGCAATAGTAATAAATAAATGGTGCTGCAATCATCAGCTTTCATTTGCAATTACCCCAGAGGCTGGAAAAGATATTATTCCATATCATGTACAAATAATTCATTCAATTCATAAGCTTCCAGTGTTTTTTAACATTTATCAACTTGCTCAATATGAATATGAAAGTAATGTAGATGTACTGTTTCTGCCTTTTAAGAATAACACCTTTGATACAAGAAATGAGAATTACTCTAATCGCCATATGAATTGACCATTTCATTCATTAAGTTATTTTTCATCAGTTGGATGTGGTATCTGTGATAATTTTTTTTCATTGCAAAATGTTGTGCTATCAGATGTCACTTGCATTGTAAAAATACTCAATTTGAAATAAATTTATTTGAAATACTATTATAGAAATATGAAAAAATTTATAACTGATGTTTTAGCATTTTCTATTTAAATTTAGTGTTTTTCAACATAACATGCAGGTTTTGAATAAAATAATTTCTCAGGTCAAACCATTTTTATGCTTACATTGGTGAGAGAATTGAAAAAGAAAGTTTTTTGAAAACCAACTAAAATTGTATTTAGGGAGGCCAGCAAAAGCTGACACTGCATGCACAATCTCTTAAGTTAGTAAGACTGAAATTAGGTACTTCTGTTTGTACATTAAAAAAATATACAACCTAGGCACTAATACTGGTACAACAATAACATAAATCTGAAATACTTATAAATACACATTTATTTTGTTTACATGATATTTTTGACCCAGTTTTGGTTTCAAAACATTTGCCATTAATATACGACAAAAACGTAAAACAAGATTGGTCCATCTAATGCACTGGTCCTAAAATACATCAAAACGAAACTGCATTGTCAAATAAGATCACTAATACCATCTTTCAATTATATTGCCAATAAAGGCGAGGGACCTTTCCTAAAATGTAAAAAATTGACTTGGCCAACCACTGAATTTAAAACATTTACAATTCTATTAACCTAATCAATGATTAAAATAATAATGCTATAATTTGAATTTTGTTTCACTTGACAATATATGTTCTCTTAACCATGGAATTAGCTCAAACTGCTGACAATCAACCTCACACATATTTAAATAATGTCAATGCCCCATTTTGGAGCTTACTGTAAAAACTACTTTATGTACAGAGCCTTTGTTAATAAGAATCTACATATAAGAGACAAAAAGGCTAGAATGAGTAGAATGTTCTTTAAGTACTGTGCGGCATCTTAACAAAGCACAAAATTACAAGTTCCATAATCATTATGCTGTTAAAAAAAACCATACACGGCATTTTCAATGGCACATCAAATATATTTTACCACACTAGAGCAAAAAATAACCACCCAACCCATCTTCGTGTAAGTTGAAATACGTTGGAAATTACAAACTATTCATTATCTGGAATACAACCCAAATGGTAAAATATTCCCATAGTCTAAATGAAAATACACTTTAACTCTACATATTTTCTTTATTCATTTAGACAAATGTTCAGGAGCAAACATGAAAATTCCTCTTGGTAATATTCAGCTCTGGTGACAGTTCTCAAGAAAAACACTTATTTTATATTTGTAAGGGGGACTTGAAATCACAAAATGTTGGGGGTGATATGATTTCTCAGTACCAGCATATTCCATTTTGTGCTTATATTTATCAAACAGTCATGTAATGATTACATACAAAAAGGGACAAATGGTTGACTATGTATGTTTATATGAATATGTATGATATCAACCTGGAACACTACATGTATATATATACAACGAATTAATGATAAGTGTGTTGTCCTGAATTTACATGGAAGCATAGTATGCACACTGCATATAGTATGATATGAACTAGATGGTTTTTATACACAAGAGGTACCATTGAGTACAAGATGGGACAAGCAACACACTACAGCATATAATTCTGGTAATAACGTGGCACCAAAGACAGGTATTGGATGGACTTCATTATGACTCCCTGGCCAGAGGGTCATTAAGGTTAAACTACACACATGTGGTGGAAGCACTGGACATGAAGGGTGAAGATACTCGATTACACTGACCACAGTGTCAGAATTATTTGCCCGTTAATATTTTTTTATTTGCCCTTCTTGGTGAACAAACATTTGGTCCTGAAAAATGCACTACTTACTTCTACCTCACCCATCCACCTTTTTGAGTTAACATTTATCATATAAACAATCACATAAAAACCAGTTCTTAGCATGAACAAAGGTTGAGTTTGAGGTTAATTTAAATTTGCATAGCATAAATAACAGAATTACTTTCCTCTATTTGCCTCCCTCCTTGCTATCACAATATTCTCTATGTCAAGCATACTGAGGAGACCAAGCACTAGTTAAAAGGCCTTCAAATATTTGATCCATTTTTCAAATAGGTATTTTTTTTAGTAAAATTCATTTTGGGAATCTAATATTAAAAAAATGCTTCCTAACAATATCCCCTGTTGCAAACAGAAATGTTTTGATTCTGTGGAAACTGACTTGTATTAATGTCACTGCATTCTTTCTTATGATTCCTGCTCAATGAATTTCTCAAACCCCATCAATGTACATGTATGCCTCTTTGTTCCAGTTTGATAAAATGGAAGTCTTGTTGTGTCTGTATTTGGTATTTAAAATCACTTGTGGCCATGCACTGGAGATGTTTTGACATTTCCCCAATCATTGAGCAAATAATGCTTCCTCAATCGGACATTGTTCTTTCCCTTCTTCCTATTGGTAATCCCTGTACTACTGACTCCTGTCTATCATAAGCTTAATTCATGCATTTAAAGTCTTAAAACTGTTGATGTTAAAAGTCCTTTAAATTGATAATCCTTATATATTTTTGACTCTCTCCATTGCTATTCAAGCTGTCATGTTACACGTACCATTCTTTCACATCTCCTTTCTTTGTTTTAGCAGGCGAAGATCCATTAACATGGTGCGTCTTGTCCCCGTTTGCTTGCAAGGGCTGTTTGACGTCTGCATAATTTTTGCTCTCATCTATTTTGTACGACCCATTGGACCTCTTTTTAACTTTGTAAATAATGAAGATAAGGATCAGCAGTGCAACCAGCACACCGACTATAATGCCAATGATCACGGCAATGTTCATCCCCCCAAGGTGGATACCCCCACCCCCTAATGTCTGTCCTGTATTTTCCCCTTCTGGGGGAGTCTTAGTGCTAACAGGCACTGTGCGTGATGTCTCATATATTACAGTTTTTGTCAAACCATCTAGGCTTGTGTCTACAACAGGGTTTGCTGTTGTGGATTTTGTGCTTTGGATGCCTGCTGAGCTTGTCTCTGGCTGGTGTGTCTTTTCGGTGGGAGATGTGGTTTCTGGAGTGACTTCTGGAACAGGTAGGAATATGTCTGGTGTGGTGCCCTCTCCACTGCCACTACCACAGTCCTCTTCATCCTCCTTGCAGTCTGATGTGGTGACGGGGAGTGGAGTTGTTGTGCTATGTGGTTTTCTGTAAAGAAAGGACAGGATGACACATCAGAATTTAGCAAGATGAAATTGTATTAATCTTTGGGCGTATTCCCATAGATTTTAGATCGATCTATCCCCGTGGGGAGTCTCACTAGATTACTGTCAGATAATCCGGCTTAAATGTCCGTCCTGCCTACTACAAGCTGTAAGGGGGTAATTAACTTCCGTGCCCGCTCAGCTGACAGCTATTTAGCGTGAACCCCCAGGGAGTTAGGTTGATCTAAAGTAGATTGATCTAATCTCTGGAAATGGGGTCTTTGACTACATTTATCAAGAAATGCCATTCCTTCAGGTGAGACAGTTCCAGGTGCATTTGTCAAAAATTTGGTTTTAAATAAGTAATCATAAGATCTTTTTTTTTTTTTTAATATTGCCAAGGTATTTAAAGAAGTGTCACCACAGTGTTCTTATATTATACCAGTAATGTAAAAGCTTCTCATTCAAACAAGAACCAGGGACACGAGAGTCTGCAGCATCTCAACCTTCTTGCGTGCACAGTAGCACATTTCACTCATTTCACTCATTCAACCCTGGCAGAGCTGCATACATAAACTCACCTGCTGGTCACAACTTCCAATATTGGTGGGGTGGAAACTTCCACTGTGGGAATAACTATATCATCAGTTGATCCTGACCCATTGGTACAGTCTTCATCATCACTGGAGCAACCAGACCCAGTAAACACTATGTCATCTGTGGTATGGCTGCCATAGGGTGTGGTCTGAAAAGGAGATGAAAATATTAAGTACTGTGATGGTAACTCTTAAAGCACAGTAATTAAAACATAGCCAGAAACCAATTTCAGAAGAACTTTGTTACTGAGAAGTTTTTTTTCTATGAAGGGGATTCATTATTTATTAAAGTTTCTTATCTAATGAATTTCGGGGTTTATTCATAAGTCAGTCCACTGTATTGTCAATCCCAATGATGCTGGCTTTGTAAAACTGGCCTCTGAAGCAGAAAACTGACTTGGAATATGTTGTTGTGTATGTATGTACAGCATAAGAAACAGACTGAAAAAAAAACCCTGTTCTTCACATATAAAAATCAAGACACTTGCTAAATAATTGCAATATATTTGCCGTAAACAGTGGCATTCTACTTATAAAATACTATATTCTATAATCAGACAAAAATATTATAGTACATATTTCTTTGAAGTCATGCGGGCATGCACCTCATCCAAAAATGCAAATTCCCCTACTACATAATTTCCATTACTTGCAATTGATTCAAAACCATCCTGCACATGCATTTAGAAGTTCCCTCTTAAAAACCAATGTTGAATACACATGCGACACATGGACTTTTATAATATCATACAAAATAAAAATGCTCCAACTAAACAAAAAATAAATATAATAACCCTATACTAACTTTTGTTGTTGTTTTTTCTTTAAAATTGAACTCTACCCACCTGCTCAATACTAGTAATGGTGGTCATTCTTTTAGTTGTGATGACCTGCTTTGTGGTCAATGGCTTTTTAACAGTGGTAGTGTCTGGCACTGCTGTTGTTGTTTCTATTGATCCTGTACTTGTCGCCTATTGTGAAAGTTTCAGTAGTTTGAATTACTGTTTCTGTAGGTGTTAAGTGGCTATATACCTACCAGTTAGTGCCCGAACTCTACTCCACCACCCATGCTGTTAGGGATGAGTGCATTCATTTTTCAAAATTCTTTACAAGACTGAAAGACGTCACAGTACACCACTTTGTAATCTGTGGTGTACTGATTCTTACTTTTATGGGACCAGAAAAGTCTTCAAATTAAAAAAAATTAAATATTGTGCAAATTCTGGTAATAATATTTCAAGTCTTGTAGAGTTTGGAAAAAAATGTGCACCTGGATTTCTTTTAGTAATCTACTGTATCTATAAAATTAGTTATCAGAATAGACTAACTTACCCAAATTGCTGCCATCAAGACAACAATGTGCTGGTGTTTATGCGGCAAAATTAGGCGTGACTGATGACATACCTATTGGTTATGAAGTGATACCTGTGGCATGCGTTTTTCGCTCTATATCTATTTTGTGCAGTTCAGTAACCATGCAAGTGTCTAATATGCAATAAATCATAGAGCACCTAGGTTATGATCAATAAGTTGTTTATAATGGTGTGTGAAATATTAGAAAGCTCCACTCATTACAAACTGAATACCACAAAGACCTAGTAATTAAGCTAAGGGTGAGTAGATAAAAATAAAAGATAACTAAGTTGTCATGCATATCCTTTGCAACATCAAATTAGATATGTATCAAAATATATGCCAAAACAACTTTTGATCAAGAAGAAAAGTCTTGACATGCTCTATTAATATTTCACAAAAAATTGTGTGAAAACCAAAGCATTAGAAGCTCAAGTAACTGATGTAGTGAAGAAGGCCACTGAAATCTATACATTTTATAAAAATAAACTGCTTTAAATTCCGTAACACTAAGAAATCCCTTGTAAATGCATGATTGTGTTCAATATTCACAAAGACAGCTGTTTTCCATTTTAAGATAGAACATATGTTTACATACAACACATTTAACATAAGTAACTGGTACCTTCATTGGGGATGTAGACTGCACATTTTTGCTTTTGGAATAAGGAGGAGTGCTGATGGCTGGTTGGCTTGTGGCTTGGGTTCTTCATATAAATAAACATAAAAAGTCAATTCCAGTTTCTAAAACATTGCTATCTTCTAGTATCATAGACAGAACTTCAGAACACACTTTTGTCTTACTGGCTGATGAATACATTAATGATCAATTAAGTTCTTAATTGTCATTCTACTTCAAAGTTTCCAAATTTGAAAAAAGGGAAAGAAAAAAGTTTTAAAGTCAAAATGTTTACAACTTATTTGAATTATGTACAAAAATGTTGGTAATCTAAGTGCAAATTAGATCAGGTGCATGGCCATATAAACTTTTATCTAAACTAATAAATTAACAAATTTGTTATCATGAATATCTTGCATACATTTTTACAGGTAACAGAGATGTTATATTGGTCTTCTCCACATCTCCTAAAATGGTGATCTTGGCATCATTGCTTTCTGCAAGATCTAAAACTCGCTTCCCATTAAAAACAAGACCTAGAGAGAGAAAATTAAATCAAGGATTTAAAGTACATGTTACATATTTATACCTCACTAAGAAAGGTGCCAAAGAAGGGCTATTTATCAAATCTGTCAGATATACTAAAAAAGTCAATACATGCAGATGTACTTTATCTATGTCTTCTCTTCTAACTTAACTATGTGCTTTCTTAAGATCTGATAAATTTATGACTGATATTCATTCAGACCTTAAAATGATAAAAACCCATCAAATAAGAGGATCTGATGTCAATATTCCCTTTTGAAATGATGTCTGGCCTGACATCCAGAACTAATTATTCAATCAGAAATGATATAAAACATCGAATGCAAGTGCAGGGACACGCCCTGCAAAAATTCATGTGTAGGAAAAAATTCTTTGTTATAGAGGAAAACTTTAGTTGGAGTGAAAATCCCATACAGGATACCTTTAATCTGCTCTAGAAACCCCCCTAGGGAAACCCTTTGAATTCCACCCAATTGTCAAAAATTTGCAAAATGAACAAAAATTTGACAACACTGTCCAATCAAACTTTTGGTTTCTGATTTTACTGAGCCTATGTACCCTCAGGGCATCCCAAATTCATTCAAGAATGTCTATAACCTACCTGCCATTGTGCCCTTAAATGGGGCTTCAATGGAGCCATCTCTTCCCATTTTTCCACCCACATAAATCTGGGCTTGATTGTTGAATACACCTAGCTGAGCACCTGTAATTAACATAAGAACCTTGTGATTACCAGACAGTTGAAAGTCCTCATAGTTGTGATACCTAAAGATATAAATTGAGCTATCATGTTAAATGTAGAAACATTATAAATTTGAGGGGTAAAGCGGTGGTGTTGCAGCAGGACAAAATACTATGTCTAATTTAAAGATTAAAGTTTGCTTGCAAAGTACAAAAAGTAGGTTGGGAATTACTAAAGTCACTATACGAGACAAATTGCTGGGTTTGACTTGAAGGTTACGGTTGCTAGGTAATCTATTGGAGAAGCAGAGTACATGATATAACTATATGAGGATTGTATATGATAATATGATACTTTTAAAGTGTATAAAAGTAAAGAATAAGATTGACATCTAATCGGTGCTTCAGTCTCTGTCAACTCACTGTTCTTCATGAAATTAATATTTGCTATTATCATTCAATGAACAAAAATTTGACAACACTAACTTGAAGAGAGTTTTGTCAGTTATTTATATTTACAGGGCCCGACACTAATTAAGGCAAACCTGAGAGCCCAAGACAATGAAAACCTTGTGCCAATTTCATGAAAGTTTCAGGGTAAGTCAGAAATGGACGAAAGAAGAATGATGAAATTTTGGTGATGATCCATTAATTAATTCATTCATTTATTATTACTTAATTATTTGTCTTGGCAGAGGTTGCAATCTTAAAGTGCTTATAAATATATATAATTTTAAAGAGACATTTGTTGTAATTCTGCACCCCATTTTGAGCATCACCGCATGCCTCAAAATGGGGGACAACATTGTTTTCAATGCAGGAATGACACAATGGTGCACCCCAGATGCAAGGGAAAATTACATGTGGACAGGTGAAACTTGGCAGCTATAAGCCTGACCTGACAGGTGACCTAAAAAATAAGCGTCGAACCCCGGTTTATGCTTGCACATTATAAGGACAAAGCACTCAGATAGGAAATCTTTGTTCATTGAGTGTTCCCCCATACTTGCTTATGCTATAAATAATGATAACTAATGGCAAAAAAACTACAACCAGACTGAAGCACAGTTTGTCCTAATTGAAGGACAAGTAAAGATAACTTTTATACATTACACATGGTATATGCACTGGTATTCTCAGTAAACTACATCATGACGTAAATTTGAAAAAATTGGAAAACAGTACCCAACGGATAACTGCTATTTCCTTAGAACCATCAGATCAAATGAGACAGCCAACAGATAACACATTTAAGAAAACTATGCCTATTGGTGCAAAGACCAGAAAATATCCAGTTTCTTTTATATGTTGGCTAAGAATCAGCAAATTTTTCTTAAGACAGGAGAGCATAATTTGCTTTCAGATTCTGGATTTTGTGACAATTTCTTTTTCAGAAGTCTACTCGCTGACATCAGTTAAATAAGAATGCAGTGCACATTAAAATAGTTGATACACAGATGCCATTGGAAGTAGGTGCTTGTTCATGCTGAAAAGGAAAGTTTTACTCTTGCATGCAATACAGTAGTGACACCTATATAGGCTCGCTGTTGGTGCTGGAAATGAACAGAACAGTGTGAGCTTGGTGATTTGCGTGGGAGTAAGAGAGAGAAAAGATGACATGACAGAAAGCCTTTTGTAGAGACATATACTGCTCTTTGAATGGGTCAATTATACAACATTCTAAGAATTCATTATTTTTCTTTTGAAAAAAAAAAAAAATGCCTCTTCTGAGGCCATTGATGTTTTGTGTGGCATGAGCTTGAAGAAACAAGTTTCAGTAATTTCTATGACAATAATTATACTGTAGCTCAGCTCCATAACTGTTGCCCTTGAAGAAAAACATTATGAAATCTGCCCAAAACATTGCTTTTAAAAAACATAAAAGAGTCCAAAATGACAACGAACAGAAAAAAACATCTGAAAATACCAATGGAAAGATAGAGAGCTGTTAGAGTTTAATTGGCAAGAGAAAACAATGTTTCCAATAACAATGTGTTACCTTCTTGCCTCAGGAATAGAACTTCTGGGATAAAACCAGTTGCCAAATCAACATTTTTCTCACTCTAATAAAAATCATTTAGCAGGCAAGTCACTAAGCCACTACTTATATTGGTAAATCACTGCTTTTATGCTATGACATTCCTACATGGCTGGGTACATATTCTGTACTCTGCAGAATGAAAAGTTTAGATAATTCAATTAAGATTCAACATCTTAATCATATCCATTTCCCAAGCATCCTTTCAAAAATTTTATTGAAAGGGAGGATTTTGGATAGTTATTATGTTAGGCAAAGCAATCTGATGAACATAAATTTTACGTTGTAGCACAATAAATAGTATGCTTCCAACTCAACTTTTCAACATAGAATTTCACTGAAAATCTGCAACTCAAGAAAAGGTGGTTTAAGCTTACCATCGTAAAAAATTTAATTTTAAAAACATAACCCATATGCCAAAACATTTTGAAATGAATTTACAGAATGGATATAGATTTCGTAATATTTTCTTCCTTGTGATACAGCCAGTTCTGTTTCTTTTCCTCATCACCATTATAATCTAATTCATTACCATCATTTTCTCTATTACTAGCTAATATCTAGCTTGAATTTGTAATAATTTTCACAATCTATTTTTCTCTCTACAAATTAGTCTCACCTGGTGGGTGCTTGGTTTGTATTGGTTCATCATCCACCTGAATTGTGGAATTGGCTCCTGCTCTGGTGAACCTCACAATATGATATTTTCCATCATTGACCTTGGTGAAAGTATCCCCTATAGGATGGGGAATGGTGCCCATGTTGTATAAGGCAAAGATAATGCCATTCACCTGGAAAAAAAGCAAATAAAATATAAATCTATTAAATGTCTGATTGATTTTATATTTTTTTAAACATATACACTTGCATATTATTCATAAAGTGAGGTATCAATCTACTCTAACATAACCTACCATTCTAGCTGTAACAAATTAAAATCTTTTTTAAAAATCATAATAATACCCAAGTGCCATTGCAACATTAAAAATATGAGAGCAATTATCCAGACCAAACTGAATCCACTGACAGACGGATCCAACCCAATCCCTTGATTAAACCCAAAACAGGAGGGAATGTAATTATCAATTTTATTTTTATTTTGCTTCCTACAATTTCTTCTAACTTACCAATTCAAGTTCTACAAAGTCATTGGAGTTGCCACTGATGACTTGGAGTAGTGTTGTCCTTTCTTGATTGGTTGTGGTTGAAAATCCAACAGCCAAATGGTCAGTCTGGGTGTCTGGACGCTCGGACTCTGGGTACGTAAACATGATCAACCCAGGTCTTGAGTCACCAAATCTATAGGCAATGCTCTCTGTAAATAAAAAAAATCACTATAATTTCCATCTATTATAATTTAATTAAGTGATTATATTTAAAACCACCCTTAACCTAAATCCTAATTTTACTGCACAGGACTTTGTACAGGACTTTCTTTGAAAAATTGACTTAAGTTCCATTTTATATCTCTCACCCATCTTAAATCTTTGAACTCTAAATTATTTGATAAATTACTTACCCTCATTACATCTTGCTCCAGAGAAGGATGTCATATCACAGTTGCATACATAGGTATCCCAGTTCTGTACACAGCGCCCTCTGTTGTCACAAGAATTAGGACTGCAAGTGGCATCAGGACCTGTATAATTTGGAAAGCCTTCAGTGAACAAGAGCAGGAAATCTAGTGTGTAAGAACAATTACAATCCATTCTCTACTAGTGATCTGAAGTTACCTGAGATTCATGAAATAATCAGACCACAGTCTCTATCTTCATTTTGTCACAGGTAAATGGAGATCAGTAAAATATGTACTATACTACCTACAAGTATGTCACAACAACTTTTAGATTACGTTATGTGACATACCATAATCAATCTTTCAAGCAAACTACTACTTTACTTTTACTGAAACTAATACTTCACAAATTAATAGTTACTGACATGAGAAATGCATCATTACATATTCACAATAAATATTAAATAAATTATAAAAAATACAATAACCAATTAACACAAAATAAAAAGATACAGAACAGAAAAGAGGAATATCTATCAAAAAAGATGAAAAACACCAAAAAACTCAAGGCACAATCTCACCATAGTATTCCACAATGGAGGTCTACCACATACAAATACTGTATATACAAATCAAAATGAAAATGTGCCAGAATATTCTTCAGATTCATGCATGTTTTGTTCCAATTGTCTCATGCTTTGTAGAGAACAAAATGCCACAATTCAATTGGAATTATCCCACACAAAAAAAAAAAAAAAAAAAAAAAACCATTTCATTCAGATCAGTGACATGCACATTTTGTGTAATATTTGCATAAAATGCTCCATCATTTTCTTCTAAATTAAAAGAGTTATTAAAATATTAAATGAAATGTGTGCACTAATCACCATTGTGACTCAAATGTTCTCTAATATTTTTGAAATGACCCATTGATATTTCTACCAAAAAAAATGCATTCAGAAATGGAGTGCACCCGATTCTCCAGTCAAATTACACCTGTGCAACAAATATTTTTACAAGACGTAACTTTGCATTTCAAACATATACAGTAAAACAAATCAACAATATTCTAGTTCACATGGATAACAATTCCAGACTATCAGTATTTAACTGTATCTTCCTACTAACTGTAAGGAACTTTCCAACTTGAAAAGGCTACACCATTTCTACCCAGGTAGGGGCCCTCTCCCCCCCCCCCTCCCCAAGCCCCCTTGCTTACCCCACCTTAACACCTCCACCTGGGGCCAAGTTTTGTCAAGGATTATGCCCCCCTTAGTTTTGTCCTGTCCCCCACCCTGGTGACCTGTTAGTTAAGGCGTAACTGTTCTAAATCAATAATAAAAGCAACTCAGGTTATCTATAACAGAATTACTCTATCATCTCTCTACGAATTGTGCTACATTAATCTGTCCTCTGTGCTACAAGCATGAAACAAAGTGTAACCTAGGAAACTAGAGGTTAATTTATCATCCAAGAATGAGAGTGCACTAAATGTGATAAACAAAGAACACCGCATCAACACACAAGTAGGACAAACTACAGAGTCTACTAGGTTAGAAAAAAAAACATACAAAAAGGACGCAGGCAACCTCAAATATAGAAATCTTAGGTTGGCATGCATATAGACAGTTATTGATTTCTAAGAAAAAGAAAACAAGAAAAAATGGGGGGAAAAAAGGAGAAACATTTTTTGAGTGTTGCTAAGCATTCTTTGTTTTATTCACAATTAGATTGAATGCTTATGTAAATAGTCCAAAAAATTTTGGTCTAGCAAAATCTTATTATAGATGGTAACTTCATATTCTTCATAATTAATTTCAGCTTTTACCTCTTTGAAATACAAAAAATGCTTTGCCAAAGTTATGAATGAGCATACCCAGCTTGATCTAAGAGTGATACATTTGCTGTTAAAAACTGAGGAATCAAAAAAAAAAAAAAAAAAAAGCACGGTTACCAGCAGGCAGGAGCTCTTTTAGCTGGATCACCATTGCACACACTGTGCATTTTCTTTGTTATCCACAAAGCATACAATTTAAGGCCAGTGAGAGCAGTGCATGCCAATGCAATGGTGGTATATGGTATTCTATCTTTTAGTCATGCAAAGTGTACAAAAGCATTTTCAAATGTGGACATTTCTTAAGGAAATTTAAGTTTCCAGATAAAGCGGAATTCACAAACATCAAAAGCCACATGCAAGTTTGATACAGATATAGTGATAAAACCTGTTTCTCATATAAAATAATTAAGCAATTTCTATAAATTGGAACAGGGCATGCTTCCAGCCAGCATGCGTGTGTGTGCATGTGCAAACGTAGCCCCCACCTGCCATGCAGTTAATCAGTTAGTTACTCACCCTGACACCCCTTTACTACTAAGCCTTGTGAAATAAGTTGTGCCTCTGTCAACAGATCTGGGGTGATACCATTGAGATCTAGAGAGGCCATGCAGCCCTGATAGCCCTGTCTGGACCGAATCAGGATGGGCAAGCTAGAGTACATAGAGACGTCAGGCATGCCACCCACATATAGATACTGGTTGAGGTTGAAGTTAATACCCACATCACCAGTGGGATAAAAAGCGGTGATCATTCTATCATCCACCTTGAGTATGTACTCTTCTAACACAGGCCGCATGACAGCTACCTCATGCCACAAGTTATTATTCAATGAGCCTACTATTGAGCGCAGCAATTTGGCCCCATCTCCCGAGTTAAAAACAAAATGAATATACCCATCTACCAATTCTACCCCTATGAAGTCTCGCCCTACTTGGCCAGTGAACAAGATCAGCCCATTAGGCTGTGTGGTTCGAAATTGGAGAGATACAGAAAAGGTTGCATAAGCTTGGAGCTGATCAAGCATGACAGCTGACTCAGGGGTTTCAAATGTGATTGTGTGACGTAATTTCTTGCCTGTGTCTGCAAAATCTGCAGTGACTTCGATGAAGCTGCTCATGGCCTCTGTTTGTGCCAGCTCAAAGTAGGGCTTCTTGTTGAAAATAAACTGCTGCATTTGTCCCGCAAAGTTGCTGTGGCGGCTCTCCTCATCACTCTGCATTCCACCCGCTGCTATGGCATCAATGTCAAGAATTTTGGAACCATCTTCTGTACCTAAAAAATGTATAAATATCTATCAAAATGCTTTAAAGGGTTACTACACACACAAGAATTGTACTAAAATTGAATATCATACAGAAAAAAAGTTTTTTTTTTTATTGTTTTGTTTTCATCTCTTTTCATTTCAAACATGTAATATACATCATGCAGCAAAAATATTGAAGCCAATGCAGGCCCTATTAACAAAACAGCCTTTTACGATCTTCAACCTCAAGTTTGTGATTGCAAATGCCAATTTAATAACTCAAACCATGATTTCATGGTGCAAATGTAAAAAAAGTGGTTTCAAGCATTTGACCAGCTTTCATGAGGATCTCTCGCATTACTCCCACATTGTAAATAGTTCAGGTTTAAGACAAAGAGCCTGTATGTTAATACCGAGAGACCTGTATGAAAGCTGGCCAAATGCTCGCAACCACTACATGTAGTTCGTGCCATGAAATCAGGCTTTCAGTTGTTAATTCAGTGATTGCAATCATAAATCCAAGGCTAGAGATCAGAAATTATTGTTTATGAGGCCTGTGATGAAACCATTTACTTTATCAGACAGTTCAAACAAACAAACTCCAAAACAATTTACAAGACCTTTCAATTATACTTCAAAAGCAATTTTTTTTATATTTAAAATGAATCTAAACACATCTGTAACAAATTTTATCAAACCTCTTCTCATCCCTTATTAGATTGTCAAAGTTTGTACAACTGTGTGTTCTAAAATTCTGTTTCTGATAAAACATCATCAATAAATTTTGTAGGTCCTGTAGGAGTAACAAATTACAATAGTGATTATGAACCAGCCACATGCAGTGGCGATAAAACAAGACGAAAAACCCCTGCAACCTTTAAAACCAATTAACTGAAAGGGTCAAAACCTTGTAAGTTATAAATTCTCTACAGACATGCCAGTATTAAATCTAAAAGCAAGCTCTAGATCAATCAAATTAGCAAAATCAAATCACCTCACAAGTCTATAGGCACAATGCACAAGGTTCTGAGGAGTGACTTATAACTAAGGTGTATTCTGAGCTTCCAACTAGATCTAACAAACCCCCCCCTCTCTCTCTCTCTCTCTCTCTCTCTCTCTCACACACACACACACACACACACACACACACACACACACACACACACACTCACACACACACACACACACACACACACACACACACGCACATGTATGCATACACAAACAGGTTTAAACTTCACATCTAATATTTTAAACAAATAAAGCTTTTGGGATTGCAATTTTTCTCTTCCACACAAAGTAACAAAAGTAGACATTCATTTTACAGCCTTCTATAAATTTCTGTTGATAGATGTTCATTGTTCTGAACACAACATCATCTCCAATTCCTCAGAGAGTGAAGTCAAAGTAATATGAAATAAGGTAACATGTTAAATTGAGATAACTGTGAAAGTAATTAAAAAGAGAACTGCATCTGTGCACTTTACAGGATTCACACACATGCAGCACTAAGGATTCACTTGTCAATGAGCACATTTCTTTATTTTCATGTTCTAATATGAAAAAAACTAACATTTCCAAGAAACACATGTTGACCAAAGAGGAAAAAACAATTCATTGGTTAATTTTTTTTATCGGAGAGTGGAATCTGTCTAAACTTTACTTTCTATATTTTCAATACCATACACCCTGGTCCTCATTTCCCAAAAGAACCTCAGTTCAAAATGGTGTCACTGTACAATAAAGACCAAAAATCTTGGTCTCCTTTGAGAAACTAGGTGGTGGTCTACAAATATTTTAGACAAAAGATTACTGTTAGGGGACTTTTAAAACATTAACCTTGATCAACTGTAACTTAAGTCGTATGTTAAGAATGACTATTAACTTAAGTTCTTTTGGATAATGAGGCCCAGGTATGGTACATAGCCATCACCCACATGCAACACACTACAGATTATAAGTCACAGTAAAGGGAACAATTACCAGAGGTGTAGGAACCAAGATAAAGGTTGTTGACACGGAGAAGAGTAGCAGCACCAACAAGTTTGCCTGAAAATAGACACAGGGAACTCCAATAACATCAATGCATATATCCTCCTGGGAAGTCCAGGAACACTCATTCTTCTTCGTTGTAGTTGTGCAGCAATGCAAATCCAGTTCACAACATTTAATTATGCAAGGCAATTACTGAACAGCTCATGTTATAGGGAAATTATTTACTCACAGAGACAAGTTGTCGAGGGGAGACATCAAAACAACATAAATCATTACCAGATTATATATATATATATATCAAATATAACTGCAATGCATTAAATATTCAGATTTCCTAAAATCCTCTACCATTACAAGCTGCTATTCTACCAATCAAATATATATAGTGTGGCATTCTCTTAGGACATGGAATCAATCATTACATGGAAAAAATTACATACAAAGCAAAATTCTTCATGCATGTATGCTAAATGTAACTGCTTCTTCCTATTTCTTTAATTGGTTTTGGTCAAGTAGGTGCATATACATAAAACATATTCCCTTTGTACCAAAAGTGATTTTCTTTTATGAAAATTATCAAGAGGATCAAACACTTAATAAAGCAAAGCACCTGGAAGCCTTCTACTTCATTTGAAGTTTTCTGTGTTATTCAAAATGTGGCATAATTTGAGGGCATTGCAAATTCCTTCAATTCAATACAAAATAAATAGATGAGACAAATAAGTAAAAAAAAAAGTGAAATGATATAATCAAGAAATATTCTGTTAAATGAATACAGGGTACTGTAAGAGTTAATTATCACCCAGATACCAAAAATAAGGTTTTTCATACATCTAATTATTCAATATTTGCAGCTACATTTGTGCTGATTAAAAACAATAAAAATTCCTAATGCTAAGCGTAAGCATGGGCACCTCAAAGTGTTTTTCATCAATTTTACACCTCTCTATTTTGAGGTAAGATAGCAGTCGGTACATAACTCCATCCCTGAACAAAATTTTATCACCAAAATTGGCATAGGTGATGATAAATAAAGCAGAAATTTGAGAAACCAATTTTGTATTTCTTACACCCAAATTGCAATTATGACATCATTGGAAAGATAACCTTTGTGAAAATGCTAATGAATTTAGTCATGATCACTGAAGATTTATATATAACCCAAAAAAAATGTATGTAAGGCAGTAAATTAGGAGTTTTTGTCTCACCCTGACAGTACCCTTAAAGAAATCATTTTTTATGAAAGAAAAATGATGTAAAATTGTATTTAGAAATACTTTATTTCACAGCATATATTGAGATTAATAATATAACTTTAATTCATAATACTCTACCATTCTCAACGATGTCCCTATCCACCCTTAACTGTATGTTCGTAAGTCTCCTTCTAATGTGCACTGTGTGCCACTGGTCGTCACTCAGACCACTGCCAACATACAAGGTCTGAAATAAACAGCAAAAAGAAAAATAATCACTGAACCCAATAACGTACAACTAAAAAAACCCTACAAAGATATATATATAATACATCCAAGTCTGTACTACACATCATTTCAGCTAAGTCATTTTAATGGGTTTTTTAAAGAATTCCCATGACAAATATTGCAGTGACTGAAAGAGTGAATTATGTCTTGCAACATGCTGAATTGGATTGGAAGAGTGAAGAAATCATCTTTTTAAGTGTTGGGAAGATCCTACTGAGAGTTTGGTTGTGTGTAATGGGCTGAAGGCATAGAAAGTCACAAAATGTCGATGCCACTACATACCTTGCTCTGCACATGGTTTTTACTTAAAAGCATTGCAGAAAATGCCACATTTAATCTTAAAATAGTAATGATAAAAGTAATCAATGCATAACAAAAGCAAAAAAAAAAAAAAAAAAAAGAAAATGAAAATATCCCCCACAGTATCTGATTAACAGAACAAAGAGAAGCTTCTAAGAAGATGCTTACTGTGCTTCCGCTTCCAAGGTTAACATCCAGCCGTGCACGCCCACCTTCTAATGTCAGCACCATTTTGTCAGAAGTCTTTTGTGACAATGTGGCAAACAGCAGGCCACCCTGGCGTCTTGTCTTAAAGCGGAGAGATATGTCCTCTGCTTCTGCCCGAGACTCCTGTGGTAATGAGATTTTAACATACTGTTCCCCATTAAAACTCAGTGTGGTGGCCGCTAAAACAAAACCAAATGTTTCTATGAAACAGTGCAGTGTAAAAAGCTTGCTGCGTTTCTGCATTGCCAGAGAAATTTGGTATGATTTTTACCAAGTCTGAATCCAAAATGTGCAAGGACTGCTGCTGCAAAACCATACATGACAAACAGACTTCTGGCAAACTACCACAGAAACACTTTCCAATATACTTTAATGTTACCATTAAATTGATCTCATCATACTCCTATTGGCAAAATTCAGGAACATTTAACCAATCAGGAGGAACCTTTGGCAGGCTGCGACTAAGTGAATGTCATATAATTGCCTCTGAGAATCCATCATGCTTTCAATAATTCAAGGAACCTGCAACTGTGTCAGACAACTTTTTGTGTATTTTTACACAGAGCACTGAGAAAGGAGACAGAGAATTTAGATTTATAGGACCATAAAAATACATCAGATTTACGGGGAAAAGAAAATAACAAAGTGGCTGATTTATTAAGGATGGTAGTTCTTAAAAAAAACCCAATCAAGTTCAACAATAAGACTTCAAACAAACAAAATAAATATATGAATATATAAATAAATAAATAAAAGCATTCACCTGCAGCTCTTTTAGGTTGAGGATATACAGCTAAACAATGTGTACAGGCCACAATTTACTTTCCAGGCAAAAAAAATTAGCATTGCAATAAGACCAAGTCCTTGATCGCCTTAGTTACTGAGCTATTATAAAAGTCTTGTACAAAACATCTGCTCTTACTTTTTACTTGATGATAAACATTTCACATATGATAAAGTAGGTATAGAAAAAAAAGAGCACAATGCCACGCCATGTAGTAAAACAGGCACATATCCTTACCAATATATTTCAAACAATGTCACCTGAGAATTGTATACTTAAACATTTATAACCCCTGCTGCAGTACAAACAAAGGAAATCCCTAGAACATCAATAGGCTGTATACATCTACATTACTCATATTAACAAGTTTAATCTATTACACGAGTTTTGTGGATCACTTTGTTGTGCATACATTTCCCTAAATTCACATAATAAAATTTGTCCTTTTCAATAAGTAACCAAATTTCAGGATGTTTGCAACTTTTGCCAGGGTTAAACAACTGCATTCAGGTTTCAAGCTATTTTAACAAAAACAAATGACCTACATTACTGAATCCCTGACATCATACCTTCATTGCAAGATGGTCCAAAATATCCTGTAGCAGAGCAGTCACACAGGAACCTGTTCCAGCCCTCTGTGCATATTCCATCATGAAGACAAGGACGAGCAGTGCACTGGTGGCGCGTTGGGTGACACTCCTGGGTCATGCCATGGATTTCTTGCTCTTCGGCAAATTTTGACAGATCTTTCACTTTTCCATCTATAAACACATCTTGCATGCACCCTACGTAGCCATACCCTAGGCTGCCAACCCACATTTCTCTTGGTAGCTGACTCCCTTCAGCAGCAGCTCCGATATACAGGGTGCCATCCAGATCGAGCTGTTCACTGTTTCCTTTAGTTGTATACTCTACCTCTACGCCATCGACACTCACTTTGCCTTGTTTTCCATTGTATGTTACCATGACTTTGTGTGGCAAACCATCGGTAACCATCAGGGTGGAAGCCTGAATCTTTATTGCTCCAGAACCAAGGTCAAGGACAAGATACAGATACCCTTCCAGCAGCTCTAATCCAAAGAAATCGGAGCTTCCTTGCACACTCCCACTGTACATCAGCAGCCCGTTTCTTTCATTAGTTTGAAACTGGAAAGTGATGACACCAGACTTTTGTGCAAGAGCATACGGGACTTTCACCATGGATTCTGGGGTGGCAAATGTCACTGGGGTGGAGTGGACCAGGTTTTCACACTTGTCGAAGAGAACATCCCCCTTGATGTTGATAAGATCGTGTTTTGTCCGTGCCAGTTCTGTGATATCTAAGCTGATGCTGTCAGCTTTGTACGTAACCTGAAATATCAAATAATATTTCTTGTATAATCCATAATTAATTATTCAAAAAAAAGATTCTAGAAAAGAAGCAATATATTTGCAATATCTAAAGATCTATGTTTGTTGCATGTAATATGCTGAAAATAATATCAAAAGCAGTAATCATAAATTTCATATACCATGTCAAAAATATCTAGAGGCTTGTGTGATTTGCGTCAGCAATTACATTTAGTTCAGCAAGCTGGAAACCAACAGCATTTTCACATTTATAGAAGTCACCATCTGCATTTTGTAAATAAACAACACCCCAATCTTTCTACTGTTTTCTGTTACAAGACATTTAAAAAGGGTGTCCATTTTGGATTTCTGGATCTTTTTTCAAGAACTCTTTTCAAGCCCAAGTGTGAAGTAAAGGTACAATGTACACTCTACTCCTATGCTTTTGCCAAGTTTTCCTGCTACCTAACCCTCTGCTCTATGCTTGATTTACCACCATCAAAGTGAAGTTATAATTCAAGTGTCAGTGAAGCCCTAAAAGTTGGGACTGGAAATTAAGATGCTTTAACATTTACGTAAGACCAAGATATACTAGCAGACAGAGTGTAAGTGGTTTATGAACTTTCAGTTGACATATCCATTTTGATCTGACCTGTTCCCTTAAAAGGTCACTTAATCTGTTCCTAATTGCTACCTTGCAACACTCATTTTGTTAAGTGGAATCTAAAATTCACTGACATATAAGTTTGAGGCTGTATGTTTGACTAAGTAATTGAGAAAATGCAGCTTAAAAATGCACTCTTAAACCAAGTTATAGATGCTCGGTCTTATACTGCAACACACACATGCCTTATCCCAAGTTGGCTATTGGTGTATAACAGTGTGGATTAAACTTCTCTCGATCAATAATTGACACAACAAAATACAAACACTTTTTCTTTCAAGGGACAACCAGTGTAAATTTAAGTTCAAAAGATGGGAGGTAATTCTATCTCTGTAATACAACACCTGCAGTATTCCTTCAAAAGAGCAACAAAATCCAAGAGAAAAGGATCAATTTAGCACACAGCCATGTAAAGATGTATCACACCTAAAGCATTCCTTTGTGGCTGCAATTCAAGCGACCAATATTATACTCTCACCAATAATCATTCTTGCAGTTGCAACTGAAATACTTACGTTACCTAAAAAATGAAAAAGAGCACAACTTCTAAACCCTTTTCACCCCAGGGTCACAAATGTGGTGCCCTCTGCTTTATACCAATCAAAATGTCACTGCCAATTAATAGCAGGCAGTAAACATGGTTAGGGCAGTATAGCTAAAAACCTCACTTTGCTGACAGATATTTTTCTCTTTTCTTTTTACAAGCTATAAAACATAAGAAGCCATTGGATAAAAATGCAATAAATCACAGGGCATTTTTGTTGTTGACTTAATGTCTAAATTTCATAAAATGTGGGTAAAAATTTAAGAAAAGTAATGTAAAACAAACAATCTACATTATTTCCCAAATAGGTTTCATAAGAACAGTACATCATAAATTTAAGGTCAGTGTCAAAGTATTCTTGAAACTCAAAATAAAGTATGAAAAGAAAAAGAAGAATAATTACAGCTTATAGCTTGGCAGTCACAGTAACACCATATGGTCTCTAACGATCAATATTACAGAACAGCCTGAAGCTAAGAGCACTTCATGCATTACTACATCCTTGCCAATTTCTATTCAGATTCTTATGGTAAGATTACATTTTCTTTTCTTTATTCATCTTCTTTTCCTTCTTTGATCTTTCACTTACTTCTTTCCAAACTTTGAAAAACCTTTTTTTCCATACAAAAGCTGCTCTCACCATATTAATTCCAAATGTTCAATCAAAAATGACATTTGCACCCCCTCTCCTTCATTGCCACACTCCCTCAAATCATTCTCAGCCACTGTGTGTGCAATGACCATCTCAGACCCAAGTCTGGTAGCTTTAAACCAGTGTAGAATGACCATAAGAGCATTCTGTGACTCAACTGTGTCACACATGCCCAAAAGTACAGTACATGTGGTAACTTCCTGTGTGCCCAAAAGCATCCAAGCCAACCTAAAACACAAACAATCTTTTTCTTTTTTGAAAATTGTACTATTTGTCTTTATACTACACTGTATGTTTCCAGACATGCAACAGAATGCAGATTTTTGCCCAGTAATTTGAACTTGGTTTGTTTACTAAGAGGTGAAAATGAAAAGTGCCCAGCAATAAAAATGTTCCGCTTTCATCATTTACTATTATCCACCCTCCCCCCCCCCCAAAAAAAAAAAAAAAAAAAAATTAAGACATCAGTTTTATACTTGTGCCTGAATTTATCTTTACACAATGCCTTCAATGTGATTACTCCACAGGAAAAAAGAGTAAAAAATTGTATACAGTCAAAAAATTAAACCAACAGAATTACAGCTGATAAGAAACATGAAATTGTGTGCTTCACATCCCAATCTCTTTCTTTTCTTACTCAAGAATAAACATGCCTGTTGTAACCCTCCCTAATACAGTGGTCTCCTTGGTATTAATCTTTTTAAGTATTCATTTCCACTTCTCCTGGGACTGATTTACCAGAGGAAAGCACCTTCAATTTGTTTTCTGAATTTTGCATGTGTGATAACTGACACTGCAACCCCTAAATTTAAAGCAACATATCATGCTATTTTTCCATACAAATTTCCAATAAGTATCCAATTATTTCCACATGCAAAATGTAAGACTATAAACACCTTTGCCAATATTATCCTCTACAAAACTTCCATACACTCCATCATTTCCCACATACATGTACCTGATGCAAAATCAGATTTCAATCAGTTTTAAGTTGGCTGAATGTTCAAAATATGTAAGATCCCTAATGATATCTTTAGAAATTGATAAATATATAGGCACCATGTGTTTGATATAATTATTAGAGATTTTAGGTGTATCTGGGAATGACTCAGCATGGATACAAATCAACCATTGTTACCAGTTACTTAATATAAATCAAATCTGATCACACAATCTTTCAATTATTATTTTGTTTTGATTCGCAATCTTGCAGACGACATAATAACAAGATATAATATATATTTCAGTTATAGGATTTTCTTTGTGCCCATAACAGCTATCAATATCATCCCGACAGCATTCTGTACATTAATATATTATAAGTGAAGAATATATGGGACTGTAAAAATGTATCTTAAATACACACTTCTTTTCTCTGTCAATGAAAATAAATACCTTTTTCAGACATCCTCTGAAGTTGCTATTGACCTTGCCCTGAGTGAGTTTGAAGGTATTGGCACTGCCGCCGACATACAGGACATTACTGGACAACATGGAAAACACCCCTGTGGTAGCGCCCGTCTGCTGGAGGAGACCATCTACCAAGATTGCAATCTGCAAGGCAGGGAAAGAAATGTTACAGTAGATATATATACAATCAAATATCATTGTCAATTTTCTGGTTATGTTGGTTCATCAAAAACACAATTCTTTTAACTCTGATTTGTGCTGAAACCAGGTATGTACATTTGTTATGAAACTTTTTATGTTGTATAGTTTTAATTTGTGAAATATGAAATATGAGATATAAATAAAGATATCATTTCATCCGTCTTTCAACCATACATCCATACATTCGTTTTCACACGTATCAGTCTAACTCAATCTTCTACATTAACAGAAAGGACCAAAAACTTAAAAATAGCCATCTAAGTTTCAAAAACCAGATCTTGTTCAACTCAGATAAGCTTCAACAAAAAATCCCCACTCCATTTCAGCTGAGCACACATTTTTCTTCTGTGATGGGTTTTCATTATCTGCCAAAGATTGATTGTGCGTGTCTGTGTAACTTTTATTAATTTCCTTACATGACACAGCTCTATTAAACAGAAATTGGCACATGTTGTGTCTTTTCTTCTATCTGGTGAAATATTCCAAAATAGCAACAATAGATTACTTCAACAAAATTTGGATCCTCTTTTGGTTGCTGACAGGATAGACAGTAATTATGCCACAAACTGTTCTTAATTACCATCTGTATTTTCACAATCCTAATTCATACATTTCAAATCTCAGTTCACTCTATTTATCTCTTTCCTCCTGCCTGCATGATGAGGATAATCTCCCTTTTTCCATTAATGCTACCATACAATGCATAGCAAATGGCCCAGAACTATTTTTAATTGCTGAAAATCAATGATTGTGATTTGAAATTATGACGATAACAGCTTCTTTCACCAACATTGTTGTTCAGGGTCTCGTCATTTATTCCTGCTATTCAAACAGAGGGAGGCTGTCATAACCATAAACACAAAGGAAAACATCGACTGCAATGGCAATATGTATCAGTAGTGCATTTTTCTGAATCCATTCACTTTCTCATATTTCCATAGATGAAAGCAGTTATTGTTAACTGGGAGAATTTATAGGAAATGGAAAAGTTAGCTTTATTCATATTTAGTTTGCCAAGTTTGAGTACGCTTTGGATGTCTACAATATCTGGAAAATAATGACAGTATAGAACAAACAAAGGATTGATCAAATATACCTGATGACTAACCTTAAAAATGATTTAGTTTATTATCTGATAAAAAAAGGTTGAGAATGATGCTGAATTTGTTTGATCTTTACTTATGAAATTAAGAAATAAACAGGTGAAATATTTAAGTGAAATTTCTGTTTCCTATAATTCTATGAGCAAAAGATATAACAGCAAATTTGATCTCTTAACATTTCTACATTAATTGAAATTCTAAATGATATCATTTTTGTAACAAAACTGTAATTTTACATTAAGTTTCAGTATTTTCTAAAAACAATCTATTCAAGATGTAGCATCTCAGTGTAGAGCTTGAACGCCTACTTTACAGAAATGGGTTTGTAGTGCAAGTGGGATCACATATAGATTAACAGTCTGACATCTGTGGGTTCACATAGGGAGACTGGAACACATGAATGGAAGATTGACAAAATTTCTACAAACACGAGAATGAGGACAAGAATGTACATAGGACAAGGATGGGAGACAGGGTATATACGATGCTGAAATTAGGTTGACACATTTCTGAGTTTCTGTACATACTGTATATTACTTGTCAAAAAGCATAAAAGGTTAATCCTGAAGCCATTCTTAGACTAGAGTTTGTCAACACCAAAATGATAACTCACCACACATCAATGATAAATTGTGCAGCTATAGCTTTGCCTATATCTTTTTTAACCAAAATAAAAAATCGATCATTTGGCAAGAATTCTGTACTGTGCTTATTTTTCTGTTCTCATTACAAGTAAAAAAAATTTGAAATTAAAAAATTTAAACATTTTTGGATAAAACTTTTTTGCCTCCATGCATCCAAATGTTTGTAAAATTTGTTTCCAAACTTTGTTTCCGAAAAGTGTTCAAGTGTATACAGTATTCAGTGTTTTAACTTAATGAAAAAATGTGTTATGTTTTACTGAAAAAATAAAGCTTCATCCCAGTGTTTGCCACATTGTTCAATGTGTCCGACATTACAGTTGTCTTAGCAACCATGTAGCACTAGGAAATCAAAGTTACTAGGGGTCGTTACTGGAGCAACAGCCAACGGCACCCAATGCTGAGTATGTCTTTCACATATACACACAGTTGTTACGCATCTTTCCATCTAACAACACTTGTACTTCAATATTAGTAAAACACAAATCTATAGTTAATGTACTGCCAAATCAATGGGATCACAGCACATGCATCTGTCACTATCTCACACAAACAGACAACAGAATATATATCAATATACATGTAATGGTTCAAAACTAAGCATCTCTAGAACCTGACTGTCAGTATATATAATAATATAATAATTTTTTTTTTTTTCATTTTTTGGAAAATGTCATAACTGATTAAATTATCAGCTTTCTGTACTATTTTTTGTGAGTGGACATGTGTAATATATGTTTTTCAAGGAACAATATTTAGAATATGCACCTGTTTTTCCAAGGCTTTTAAAACATCAGTTTATTTCTGATGAGAAATATAAAAACAGTACATGTTTATTCTTTTAAAATAATACTTAAAACAACTATAGATTTGGGGGGAGAGCAGTCAAGATTCCTGAGATACTTAGCCTTTTTTCACTTCACATAATGCACCAACAAAAAATCACTTTGGTTTTGGGTATGATAAATGCACAACAGACATAAAGTAAAATCAAGTGGGAAAGATGCAACTGAAGTCACCGAAGTGAACAATTTGCTTTTTTTTACTTACGTCTGCGATGGCAAAATTCCGAGCCAGCTATTGATGCAAGTGGATTAGTTAGCAAGAAGAGTTATCAAGCAAACCAACAGAAGAGTTGAGGGGAAAGTGTCATTACCATGGGGATAGGAGCATTATCTAAATTGTTAACCAGACTCTATAAAGTTCAGATTTTAACTTTGACAATGGCAGTGATACCCAAGTGTAATGCTGCACTAATTTCTATTTGCATACACATAAAGTTTAGGGATTTGACATTTCAAATACTTTCAAAATTCCAATGTAAATATCCAATTGCAAAACAGTTGATGGGATCTTTCTCACTGCCTTGATTTGCACACTTATTTTTTAAAAAAATGTTTCTGTTGAAATCCATGAGGCAAAAATTTGGAAATGTAGATGGAAGAGGGAGTGAGAGATCCCTGGGTGGGTGTCTCCATCTGGGTGTCACATGACAAGACAAGTGGTGACCCCAACCTAGACCTGTTTTTTATGATCTGAAATGGTCTCCAACACAGAGATGCAGGAACAATATGTTGAACACAGCATGAAACAGAGACAGATACATGGAGAGCTGCCAGCATCCATCTATCAACTTGCAGATGGGCATTCTTTTCAAGTCAAGTACAGAAGATGAGATATATAATAACTTCCGTTTTTTTTTTCTCTTTAGCCCTCATTCAACCTATGTCCCTGTTATAGAGCAAAAAAATTTAAATTATTCCAAAATTAAAAAAAAAAAGCCCCATGGAAAGGTAATGTTTTTCACTGTCTCCAAAACAACAGCTGGAAATACTCTCCCTGAAGCTGACACAATAGACAACTGAATAGTTTGAAGAGGCAACATCTGATTAAATCTGCTTTTCAGATGAGCACTTGGCTGTTGTATTCTTCCAATCATGGCTACTACAGACTTAAATTTAACCAATATATATCTGCACGTCCACTATACTAAGTAACAACAACTGGACATGGGCATCAAAATTTGAAGATGGCACCAATCTTGTGAGCACCCTTTCTGCTTATAATAAGTATTGTATTTTGCTTTATATTTATAAAGTTTGGAAAATGTAACACTAAAAACATAAAATTATCAGGGAAGAGTACATTAAACTTCACAGAGTAAGGAAAGCATGCTGCAATCCCGAATCAGCAGTTAAACAGCGATGACATGAAATTGTCTCTTGTGAGTTACATGCCAAAAAAGTGGGAACCAGATATATAGCTAATTTAATTAGTCTCATTTGATATTCATGAAACCGAGTCATTATGTTATCAATGGAAATTTTCACTATGTACGCTAGGTCCCTGGTCTGAATCTAAATGGGGAAACTACACGCCAGCTGTGGTTTCGCTGTCGTGTGTGTCTGAAGGAAATGAAACAGGATTGGGCCATAACGTCTGTGATTACACACTCAGATGACAGGATTTTCTTACTTAAGTTGCATGTTGTTTTATGAAAAGCAGAGTATATTTCAGGTATTTAAATCCCCAAATTGAACGATTTGTATAGTTCACGTGTATGCCAGATAACACTTTGTACTGTAGTTGAAAACAGAACTGATGGTAACGCACCATAACCCATTTTCTTCGCCCATCAAAATTTGTAAGGAAGAACAATTTTTGTATTTCTCTAATGCGTCTGCCATAAATGATCCCTGAGATGACCAAAAAACATGATAATACTATTCTGAGAACTTACTTTTCTATCATGTAGCACTGCACAACAGACTGTTATGTCTGTGTCTCAGATTTAAGTGCTGTTTGAGTGTCATTTTTTGGCTAAGAAATAAAAAGTTTAAACTACACAGCAATGTTTGGATACACAGAATTGTTTTTTACAATAAGACAAATTCATCCCCATTCACACGAAAGCACCCCCATTGTAATCCAACACATACAAATACGGTATTTTGACAGACTTTCAAAGATGATAACCCATTGTTGTTACCCAGTATTGTGATTGTGCATATATACAATCAATTTTGAGGCAGCAATAAAAAACGCATTCCATTTTGAGAAAAATACTTGAAAGCTGTTGAAGATGATTTTTTTAAACCAAAAGCTGCCAATTAAAAGGGAGTTCAAAATATGAGATGCACTTATCTAAATTAGTTTTGACACTGTGAATGTCATTACTACAGGAAAGCCTCCACGTACTTTTTTCTCTTAACTTATTAATTAGTTTTACAAAATGCCACCTTGGAGGATGAAAACTAATATGGAAACCCAAATCAAGAGGAAGTCAAAACAAATATCCTTTCCCATCTAAAAAAATACAGAAAGGGCATTTTGAACAATGCCCCAGACACAACATAAAAGCATTAGGTTTACTTTGTAATTGTCAGTTTGCAAATCTGAATAACCCCTCCAGCAGAATATCAAATTCAAAATGTCATTAATTTTTATTCGACTGTCAGCAGGAAAAAAGTAAAATCTGTCTTGATTCTCTTGGCAGTTTTCCTGACCGCAGAGAGCAGTGGGATGACAGTTTTAAGTTGTGGCAACTAGAAGACAAAACAATTAACTGTACAATAAATTAAGGATAAATAGGATGTTTTGACCCCAATAAAAAGGGAGGTTTCAGACTGATAATATGTCCATTAGAATAAGAATTGCAAAATGTGCATTGACCACTGGAAAATGAGAACAGTGCAACCATGGAAAATGAGAACAGTGCAGTGTTAAAATGTGAACGTAGTGTGCATACTGGCATGCACGTAAACATGAGATGTAGCCTGCACACATGCACTCAGTAACTCCAGAAGTCTATCAGAATTCATTTCAGTTTAATTCATTACTATTCAAAATCAGTTAAATGGTGGAGCAAATGGAATGAAGCAATCATTATGGGAAAGTGAAACACTTTTGTGTCTAAAAATGATCCTAAGGAGTTAAACCACTTTTTAGAGGATGATTATGTTAACATGATCAAATTTTGTTCATAGATTTCATCAAAAATTCAGACAAATTAATACTACAATTTATGCTCTTACCTCCCTAGATCTTCTCTCTACCACTACGTGGTGCCACTGGTTGTCATTGTACTTTTCGGTGAGGACTGGGTGCTGAAACTCTCCCGCACCCAGGTTGACACTGACCATTATCACACCATCTACCAAGGCCACCAGCAGAAAATCACTCCCATCCCCTAAAACAAGGAGAATTTTCAAGGTTAATTTTTTTTTTGTTTTTTTCTTTATGCTCCACTTGTTTAGTGTTTCTTCACATGACTGATATAGTAACTAAACACATGAGAACAGGATTTTAAAACTAAGTTACGTATTAATTTTCTCTTTATTAACATTTAGTTTTAGATTATTCGATAATCAATAAAACATAATTATCATTTTTCAGTTTTAACAACATATTTTTAAGTTGACTAGTCCAAGTCTTGCTGGAAGGCTATTTTGTCCATAAGGGATAATATTACACAATTCTTAACAGAATATTAACAACCAATTTTATTATGTACTACTGTTAGTGTGGGCATTCAAAAAATGTGAAAATCAAACTTAAACAGGGTTTTAGACCCACGAAAATTCAAAGTCACACATAAAAAAAAATTGAAAAATGAAATTTTCAAAAAAACTTTGTAACTTCAAGAAAAATAATCAAATAAGAGTTAAAGTAGAGTTGTATTTTTATCCATTAATTCATATTCCTGTACGTTTACCTTTAATTGCATTTACAAGCAAAAACTCTAGAAAAGTAACACCAACGACAATGGCAACAATAGATACAGTTCCTGTTCATAAAAACCAAGCTGGGATAATCTTCGAAAGAATTTGCATGTGGGTAACTAATTCGGATCAAACTGAGACATCATTTAATTAAATGTATATAATGCACAACCATAAGTTAGTTTCAAGAGCCACATCCATATTCCCTTATTTATCATATGCTCTTTGCAATCACAACAATAGTGACTGCAATGATACCTGTGTAAAATAGGATCCCATTGGTCTGTCTGGTCTTGAAAAAAAATGACACTTCATCATTTTTGCTGACTATGGGATCACCTCGATTTGACAAGTCATAGCTGAGATACTCTTGTCCAGAGAATGTTGCCTCTGATGGAATAGTTTCTAGAAATGGAAAAAAGGAGATGTCACACACTAGTAGCCATGATCAGATGATAATACTGAACCAGTGCTTCTTTGCATTAAATAATTTCACAGCAAGTATTATGCTGACCTTTTTTTGATGAAATTCAAAATATTTTTAAACATTCATGGAAAAAAATGAAAAAATGACCCATTTAAGAATCGTGGTGACTTAGAATAAACCACTATTACAACTAATATCATATTATTAGTAATCTAAAAACACTATGTGATTGCTTTTATATTATGCAGCTGAACTTTTTCATTTTTTCTCTTTTGTTTTAAAAAATGAAGACCAAAACCTATTTGCAGGCTTCGGTGTACCACTTGATATTTTGCATTGTTGAAACAATAAATGTTAGCCCTTGAAATCCACTCAGAGAATACTTTTGTGTGATCAGCAGCCTACAACATTTGGTTCTCTCCAGTGGCTTCCACTGCTGACAAATATGTTAACAATGGATTCTTGGGTTACTGAAAAAGTGGTTCCATTTTTTCTCCCTTGAGAACCTATTATATCACCCTTTCATATCTATGGGAAAAACCAGTGAAAGAAATGTTTCAAATAAAAAAAATTAAAATAAAAAAATGAATGGATGGATGGAAGGAAGGAAGGAAAGATAAATGAAAGAATGAGTAACAGTAAAAAGATGAACAAAACAATAACAAATATACAAGCCTACAGGAACTCAAGTAAGACTAAACACACTCATGAAAAAGCCAATTATTTCATTTTCAAGGATGGACATTTCCATGACAGGAATGATCCACACACTTTTCCAAGAAGATTTTGTTTGCAATTTTCAAGAAGCAGCAAGAAAAGAGATTTCTTTACTAAAATTCCACTTCATCTTAAAGCAGGAAAGATGTTTAATGCACTAGCCCCCAAGAGACAGCACTGAGATATCTCTATCTTAATATTTCACACCAGCAGAAGACCAGCTGTCAGAGAGAGAGATTCCAGAAACTGGCATGCAGTATTGCCTGGAATGTGCACAGATCAGAGGTGAGCAATCAACAGGGCAGATGATCGTATCTCAGGATTCAACGGAGAAGGGTCTTCATTACCATATATACATTTATCAAAGGTCTTAAACTGACTGATTTCAGTTCAATGAAAATAGGAAATGTCTCATGTATATTTTGATTCGATTGGTTATCATTTTACTGTTTCAAGTACAATGGAGCACAATGCCTGGGACATTTTTTTCTGGGAGAAAATGTCAGTTGAAAACACTGTTAATTGTCTGCTAAACAAAATAGACACAGTAAAAATTTGCAGTTCATTAAATGCGTACTTCTCTTAGAACTCTTTCCTTCACCTTAAACTGTAAAGTTCACTTGAAGAAAAGTACACATTTCAGGACAAATTTAATCCCATAAGAAACATAAAAATGGAATAATAACTAGTGCATACCTTTCCAACAAAACAAACATAATAACATGGCGTGTTTGAAGCAAAATTTCCATGTAAAACAGCTTTGCTGCTTGTTTACTATTTTCTATGTGGGATCATTTTCATGTACAATTGTCTGTATCACCAGTTAAATTATCGTGTCTTCTTTTTATTACTATTTTTACTTGATGTGACAATACCATGTATCAATCAAGCTGAAATCTTCTTCATCTTCTTCACTCATGATGTGACTTCAAAGGACAAGAGGCACAATACAAACATTCTAATTTAANAAGCATTCCTTTGTGGCTGCAATTCAAGCGACCAATATTATACTCTCACCAATAATCATTCTTGCAGTTGCAACTGAAATACTTAAGTTACCTAAAAAATGAAAAAGAGCACAACTTCTAAATCCTTTTCACCCCAGGGTCACAAATGTGGTGCCCTCTGCTTTATACCAATCAAAATGTCACTGCCAATTAATAGCAGGCAGTAAACATGGTTAGGGCAGTATAGCTAAAAACCTCACTTTGCTGACAGATATTTTTCTCCTTTCTTTTTACAAGCTATAAAACATAAGAAGCCATTCAATAAAAATGCAATAAATCACAGGGCATTTTTGTTGTTGACTTAATGTCTAAATTTCATAAAATTTGGGTAAAAATTTAAGAAAAGTAATGTAAAACAAACAATATACATTATTTCCCAAATAGGTTTCATAAGAACAGTACATCATAAATTTAAGGTCAGTGTCAAAGTATTCTTGAAACTCAAAATAAAGTATGAAAAGAAAAAGAAGAATAATTACACCTTATAGCTTGGCAGTCACAGTAACACCATATGGTCTCTAACGATCAATATTACAGAACAGCCTGAAGCTAAGAGCACTTCATGCATTACTACATCCTTGCCAATTTCTATTCAGATTCTTATGGTAAGATTACATTTTCTTTTCTTTTTTCATCTTCTTTTCCTTCTTTGATCTTTCACTTACTTCTTTCCAAACTTTGGAAAACCTTTTTTTCCATACAAAAGCTGCTCTCACCATATTAATTCCAAATGTTCAATCAAAAATGATATTTGCACCCCCTCTCCTTCATTGCCACACTCCCTCAAATCATTCTCAGCCACTGTGTGTGCAATGAACATCTCAGACCCAAGTCTGGTAGCTTTAAACCAGTGTAGAATGACCATAAGAGCATTCTGTGACTCAACTGTGTCACACATGCCCAAAAGTACAGTACATGTGGTAACTTCCTGTGTGCCCAAAAACATCCAAGCCAACCTAAAACACAAACAATCTTTTTCTTTTTTGAAAATTTTACTATTTGTCTTTATACTACACTGTATGTTTCCAGACATGCAACAGAATGCAGATTTTTTGCCCAGTAATTTGAACTTGGTTTGTTTACTAAGAGGTGAAAATGAAAAGTGCCCAGCAATAAAAATGTTCCGCTTTCATCATTTACTATCATCCACCCCCCCCTCCCAAAAAAAAAAAAAAAAAATTAAGACATCAGTTTTATACTTGTGTCTGAATTTATCTTTATACCAATGCCTTCAATGTGATTACTCCACAGGAAAAAAGACGTAAAAAATTGTATACAGTCAAAAAATTAAACCAACAGAATTACAGCTGATAAGAAACATGAAATCGTGTGCTTCACATCCCAATCTCTTTCTTTTCTTACTCAAGAATAAACATGCCTGTTGTAACCCTCCCTAATACAGTGGTCTCCTTGGTATTAATCTTTTTAAGTATTCATTTCCACTTCTCCTGGGACTGATTTACCAGAGGAAAGCACCTTCAATTTGTTTTCTGAATTTTGCATGTGTGATAACTGACACTGCAACCCCTAAATTTAAAGCAACATATCATGCTATTTTTCCATACAAGTTTCCAATAAGTATCCAATTATTTCCACATGCAATATAAATGTAAGACTATAAACACCTTTGCCAATATTATCCTCTACAAAACTTCCATACACTCAATCATTTCCCACATACATGTACCTGATGCAAAATCAGATTTCAATCAGTCTTAAGTTGGCTGAATGTTCAAAATATATAAGATTCCTAATGATATCTTTAGAAATTGATAAATATATAGGCACCATCTGTTTGATATAATTATTAGAGATTTTAGGTGTATCTGGGAATGACTCAGCATGGATACAAATCAACCATTGTTACCAGTTACTTAATATAAATCAAATCTGATCACACAATCTTTCAATTATTATTTTGTTTTGATTCACAATCTTGCAGATGACATAATAACAAGATATAATATATATTTCAGTTATAGGATTTTCTTTGTGCCCATAACAGCTATCAATATCATCCCGACAGCATTTTGTACATTAATATATTATAAGTGAAGAATATATGGGACTGTAAAAATGTATCTTAAATACACACAAGTCATTTTCTTCTTTTCTCTGTCAATGAAAATAAATACCTTTTTCAGACATCCTCTGAAGTTGCTATTGACCTTGCCCTGAGTGAGTTTGAAGGTATTGGCACTGCCGCCGACATACAGGACATTACTGGACAACATGGAAAACACCCCTGTGGTAGCGCCCGTCTGCTGGAGGAGACCATCTACCAAGATTGCAATCTGCAAGGCAGGGAAAGAAATGTTACAGTAGATATATATACAATCAAATATCATTGTCAAGTTGCTGGTCATGTTGGTTCATCAAAATCACAATTCTTTTAACTCTGGTTTGTGCTGAAACCAGGTATGTACATTTGTTATGAAACTTTTTATGTTTTAATTTGTGAAATATGAAATATAAATAAAGATATCATTTCATCTGTCTTTCAACCATACATCCATACATTCGTTTTCACATGTATCAGTCTAAGTCAATCTTCTACATTAACAGAAAGGAGCAAAAACTTAAAAATTGCCATCTAAGTTTCAAAAACCAGACCTTATTCAACTCAGATAAGCTTCAACAAAAAATCCCCACTCCATTTCAGCTGAGCACACATTTTTCTTCTGTGATGGGTTTTCATTATCTGCCGAAGATTGATTGTGCGTGTCTGTGTAACTTTTATTAATTTCCTTACATGACACAGCTCTATTAAACAGAAATTGGCACATGTTGTGTCTTTTCTTCTATCTGGTGAAATATTCCAAAATAGCAACAATATATTACTTCAACAAAATTTGGATCCTCTTTTGGTTGCTGACAGGATAGACAGTAATTATGCCACAAACTGTTCTTAATTACCATCTGTATTTTCACAATCCTAATTCATACATTTCAAATCTCAGTTCATTCTATTTATCTCTTTCCTCCTGCCTGCATGATGAGGATAATCTCCCTTTTTCCATTAATGCTACCATACAATGCATAGCAAATGGCCCAGAACTATTTTTAATTGCTGAAAATCAATGATTGTGATTTGAAATTATGACGATAACAGCTTCTTTCACCAACATTGTTGTTCAGGGTCTCGTCATTTATTCCTGCTATTCAAACAGAGGGAGGCTGTCATAACCATAAACACAAAGGAAAACATCGACTGCAATGGCAATATGTATCAGCAGTGCATTTTTCTGAATCCATTCACTTTCTCATATTTCCATAGATGAAAGCAGTTATTGTTAACTGGGAGAATTTATAGGAAATGGAAAAGTTAGCTTTATTCATATTTAGTTTGCCAAGTTTGAGTACGCTTTGGATGTCTACAATATCTGGAAAATAATGACAGTATAGAACAAACAAAGGATTGATCAAATATACCTGATGACTAACCTTAAAAATGATTTAGTTTATTATCTGATAAAAAAAGGTTGAGAATGATGCTGAATTTGTTTGATCTTTACTTATGAAATTAAGAAATAAACAGGTGAAATATTTAAGTGAAATTTCTGTTTCCTATAATTCTATGAGCAAAAGATATAACAGCAAATTTGATCTCTTAACATTTCTACATTAATTGAAATTCTAAATGATATCATTTTCGTAACAAAACTGTAGTTTTACATTAAGTTCCAGTATTTTCTAAAAACAATCTATTCAAGATATAACATCTCAGTGTAGAGCTTGAACGCCTACTTTACAGGAATGGGTTTGTAGTGCAAGTGGGATCACATATAGATTAACAGTCTGACATCTGTGGGTTCACATAGGTAGACTGGAACACATGAATGGAAGATTGACAAAATTTCTACAAACACGAGAATGAGGACAAGAATGTACATAGGACAAGGATGGGAGACAGGATATATTAGGTTGACACATTTCTGAGTTTCTGTACATACTTACTGTATATTACTTGTCAAAAAGCATAAAAAAGGTCAATCCTGAAGCCATTCTTAGACTAGAGTTTGTCAACACCAAAATGATAACTCACCACACATCAATGATAAATTGTGCAGCTATAGATTTGCCTATATCTTTTTTAACCAAAATAAAAAATGGATCATTTGGAAAGAATTCTGTACTGTGCTTATTTTTCTGTTCTCATTACAAGTAAAAAAAATTGAAATTAAAAAATTTAAACATTTTTGGATAAAACTTTTTTGCCTCCATGCATCCAAATGTTTGTAAAATTTGTTTCCAAACTTTGTTTCCAAAAAGTGTTCAAGTGTATACAGTATTCAGTGTTTTAACTTAATGAAAAAATATGTTATGTTTTACTGAAAAAAATAAAGCCTCATCCCAGTGTTTGCCATACTGTTCAATGTGTACGACATTACAGTTGTCTTAGCAACCATGTAGCACTAGGAAATCAAAGTTACTAGGGGTCGTTACTGGAGCAACAGCCAACGGCACCCAATGCCGAGTATGTCTTTCACATATACACACAGTTGTTACGCATCTTTCCATCTAACAACACTTGTACTTCAATATTAGTAAAACACAAATCTATAGTTAATGTACTGCCAAATCAATGGGATCACAGCACATGCATCTGTCACTATCTCACACAAACAGACAACAGAATATATATCAATATACATGTAATGGTTCAAAACTAAGCATCTCTGGAACCTGACTGTCAGTATATCATATCTTATTCAAATCTTAGGAATTCCAAATAAATTTTTTTTTCATTTTTTGGAAAATGTCATAACTGATTAAATTATCAGCTTTCTGTACTATTTTTGTGAGTGGACATGTGTAATATATATGTTTTTCAAGGAACAATATTTAGAATATGCACCTGTTTTTCCAAGGCTTTTAAAACATCAGTTTATTTCTGATGAGAAATATAAAAACACAGTACATGTTTATTCTTTTGAAATAATACTTAAAACAACTATAGATTTGGGGGGGGGGGGGGGGGAGCAGCCAAGATTCCTGAGATACTTAATTAGCCTTTTTTCACTTCACATAATGCACCAACAAAAAAAATCACTTTGGTTTTGGGTATGATAAATGCACAACAGACATAAAGTAAAATCAAGTGGGAAAGATGCAACTGAAGTCACCGAAGTGAACAATTTGCTTTTTTTTTACTTACGTCTGCGATGGCAAAATTCCGAGCCAGCTATTGATGCAAGTGGATTAGTTAGCAAGAAGAGTTATCAAGCAAACCAACAGAAGAGTTGAGGGGAAAGTGTCATTACCATGGGGATAGGAGCATTATCTAAATTGTTAACCAGACTCTATAAAGTACAGATTTTAACTTTGACAATGGCAGTGATACCCAAGTGTAATGCTGCACTAATTTCTATAAAGAAGCACGTTTCTTACTTAAGTTGCATGTTGTTTTATGAAAAGCAGAGTATATTTCAGGTATTTAAATCCCCAAGTTTAGGGATTTGACATTTCAAATACTTTCAAAATTCCAATGTAAATATCCAATTGCAAAACAGTTGATGGGATCTTTCTCACTGCCTTGATTTGCACACTTATTTAAAAAAAAATGTTTCTGTTGAAATCCATGAGGCAAAAATTTGGAAATGAAGATGGAAAAGGGAGTGAGAGATCCCTGGGTGGGTGTCTCCATCTGGGTGTCACATGACAAGACAAGTGGTGACCCCAACCTAGACCTGTTTTTTATGATCTGAAATAGTCTCCAACACAGAGATGCAGGAACAATATGTTGAACACAGCATGAAACAGAGACAGATACATGGAGAGCTGCCAGCATCCATCTATCAACTTGCAGATGGGCATTCTTTTCAAGTCAAGTACAGAAGATGAGATATATAATAACTTCCGTTTTTTTTTTTTTTCTCTATAGCCCTCATTCAACCTGTATGTCCTTGTTATAGAGGAAAAAAATTTAAATTATTCTAAAATTTAAAAAAAAGCCCCATGGAAAGGAAATGTTTTTCACTGTCTCCAAAACAACAGCTGGAAATACTCTCCCTGAAGCGGACACAATAGTTTGTAGAGGCAACATCAGATTAAATGTGCTTTTCAGATGAGCACTTGGCTGTTGTATTCTTCCAATCATGGCTACTACAGACTTAAATTTAACCAATATATATCTGCACGTCCACTATACTGGGTAACAACAACTGGACATGGGCATCAAAATTTCAACATGGCGCCAATATTGTACGCACCCTTTCTGATATAATGTATCGTGTTTTGCTTTATATTTATAAAGTTTGGAAAATGTAACATTAAAAACATAAAATTATCAGGGAAGAGTACATTTAACTTCACAGAGTAAGGAAAGCATGCTGCAATCCCGAATCAGCAGTTAAACAGCGATGACATGAAATTGTCTCTTGTGAGTTACATGCCAAAAAAAGTGGGAACCAGATATATAGCTAATTTAGTTAGTCTCATTTGATATTCATGAAACCGAGACATTACGTTATCAATGGAAATTTTCACTATGTACGCTATGTCCAAATCTAAATGGGGAAACTACACGCTAGCTGTGGTTTTGCTGTCGTGTGTGTCTGAGGGAAATGAAACAGGATTGGGTCGCAACATCTGTGATTACACACTCAGATGACAGGATTTTCTTACTTAAGTTGCATGTTGTTTTATGAAAAGCAGAGTATATTTCAGGTATTTAAATCCCCAAATTGAACAATTTGTATAGTTCACGTGTATGCCAGATAACACTTTGTACTGGAGTTGAAAACAGAAATGATGGTAACGCACAATAACCCATTTTCTTCACCCACCAAAATTTGTAAGGAAGAACAATTTTTGTATTTCTCTAATGTGTCTGCCATAAATGATCCCTGAGATGACCAAAAAACATGATATTACTATTCTGAGAACTTACTTTTCTATCATGTACCACTGCACAACAGACTGTTATATCTGTGTCTCAGATTTAATTGCTGTTTGAGTGTCATTTTTTGGTTAAGAAATAAAAAGTTTAAACTACACAGCAATGTTTGGAAACACAGAATTGTTTTTTACAATAAGACAAATTCATCCCCATTCACACGAAAGCACCCCCATTGTAATCCAACACATACAAATACGGTATTTTGACAGACTTTCAAAGATGATAACCCATTGTTGTTACCCAGTATTGTGTTTGTGCATATATACAATCAATTTTGAGGCAGCAATAAAAAACGCATTCCATTTTGAGAAAAATACTTGAAAGCTGTTGAAAATGATTTTTTTAAACCAAAAGCTGCCAATTAAAAGGGAGTTCAAAATATGAGATGCACTTATCTAAATTAGTTTTGACACTGTGAATGTCATTACTACAGGAAAGCCTCCATATACTTTTTTCTCTTAACTTATTAATTAGTTTTACAAAATGCCACCTTGGAGGATGAAAACTAATATGGAAACCCAAATCATGAGGAAGTCAAAACAAATATCCTTTCCCATCTAAAAAAATACAGAAAGGGCATTTTGAACAATGCCCCAGACACAACATAAAAGCATTAGGTTTACTTTGTAATTGTCAGTTTGCAAATCTGAATAACCCCTCCAGCAGAATATCAAATTCAAAATGTCATTAATTTTTATTTGACTGTCAGCAGGAAAAAAGTAAAATCTGTCTTGATTCTCTTGGCAGTTTGCCTGACCGCAGAGAGCAGTGGGATGACAGTTAGTTTTAAGGTGTGGCAACTAGAAGACAAAACAATTAACTGTACAATAAATTAAGGATAAATGGGATGTTTTGACCCTGATAAAAAGGGAGGTTTCAGACTGATAATATGTCCATTAGAATAAGAATTGCAAAATGTGCATTGACCACTAGAAAATGAGAACAGTGCAACCATCGAAAATGAGAACAGTGCAGTGTTAAAATGTGAACGTAGTGTGCATACTGGCATGCACGTAAACATGAGATGTAGCCTGCACACATGCACTTAGTAACTCCAGAAGTCTATCAGAATTCATTTCAGTTTAATTCATTACTATTCAAAATCAGTTAAATGGTGGAGCAAATGGAATGAAGCAATCATTATGGGAAAGTGAAACACTTTTGTGTCTAAAAATGATCCTAAGGAGTTAAACCACTTTTTAGAGGATGATTATGTTAACATGATCAAATTTTGTTCATAGATTTCATCAAAAATTCAGACAAATTAATACTACAATTCATGCTCTTACCTCTCTAGATCTTCTCTCTACCACTACGTGGTGCCACTGGTTGTCATTGTACTTTTCAGTGAGGACTGGGTGCTGAAACTCTCCCGCACCCAGGTTGACACTGACCATTATCACACCATCTACTAAGGCCACCAGCAGAAAATCACTCCCATCCCCTAAAACAAGGAAAATTTTCAAGGTTTTTTTTTTTTTTTTTTTTTTTATTCTTTATGCTCCACTAGTTTAGTGTTTCTTCACATGACTGATATAGTAACTAAACGCATGAGAACAGGATTTTAAAACCGAGTTACATATTAATTTTCTCTTTATTAACATTTAGTTTTAGATTATTCAATAATCAATAAAACATAATTATCATTTTTGCAGTTTTAACAACATATTTTTAAGTTGACTAGTCCAAGTCTTGCTGGAAGGCTATCCTGTCCATAAGGGGTAATATTACACAATTCTTAACAGCATATTAACAACCAATTTTATTATGTACTACTGTTAGTGAGGGCATTCAAAAAATGTGAAAATCAAACTTAAACAGGGTTTTAGACCCACGAAAATACAAAGTCACACATAAAAAAATTGAAAAATGAAATTTTCAAAGAAACTTTGTAACTTCAAGAAAAATAATCAAATAAACTACTGTTGTATTTTTATCCATTAGTTCATATTCCTGTACGTTTACCTTTAATTGCATTTACAAGCAAAAACTCTAGAAAAGTAACACCAACGAGAATGGCAACAACAGATACAGTTCCTGTTCATAAAAACCAAGCTTGGATAATCTTCAAAAGAATTTGCATGTGGGTAACTAATTCAGATCAAACTGAGTCATCATTTAATTAAATCTATATAATGCACAACCATAAGTTAGTTTCAAGAGCTACATCCATATTCCCTTATTTATCATATGCTCTTTGTAATCACAGCAATAGTGACTGCTACGATACCTGTGTAAAATAGGATCCCATTGGTCTGTCTGGTCTTGAAAAAAAATGACACTTCATCATTTTTGCTGACTATGGGATCACCTCGATTTGACAAGTCATAGCTGAGATACTCTTGTCCAGAGAATGTTGCCTCTGATGGAATAGTTTCTGGAAATGGAAAAAAGGAGATGTCTAACACTAGTAGCCATGATCAGATGATAATACTGAACCAGTGCTTCTTTGCATTAAATAATTTCATAGCAAGTATATGCTGACACTTTTTTGATGAAATTCAAAATATTTTTAAACATTCATGGAAAACAAATGAAAAAATGACCCATTTAAGAATCGTGGTGACTTAGAATAAACCACTATTACAACTAATATCATATTACTAGTAATCTAAAAACACTATGTGATTGCTTTTATATTATGCAGCTGAACTTTTTCATTTTTTCTCTTTTGTTTTAAAAAATGAAGACCAAAACCTATTTGCAGGCTTGGGTGCACCACTTGATATTTTGCATTGTTGAAACAAGAAATGTTAGCCCTTGAAATCCACTCAGAGAATACTTTTGTGTGATCAGCAGCCTACAACATTTGGTTCTCTCCAGTGGCTTCCACTGCTGACAAATATGTTAACAATGGATTCTTGGGTTACTGAAAAAGTGGTTCCATTTTTTCTCCCTTGAGAACCTATTATATCACCCTTTCATATCTATGGGAAAAACCAGAGAAATAAATCTTTCAAAAAAAAAAAAATAATAATAATAAAACAAGGATAGATGGATGGATGGATGGATGGAAGGAAGGATAAATGAAAAAATAAAATGACAAAGTAAAAAGATGAACAAAACAATAACAAATATATGAGCCTGCAGGAACTCAGTAAAGACTAAACACACTCATGAAAAAGCCAATCATTTCATTTTCAAGGATAGACATTTCCAGTGATCCTCACACTTTTCCAAGAGTATTACATGTTTGCCATTTTCGAGAAGCAGCAAGAAAAGAGACTTCTTTACTAAAATTCCACTTCATCCTAAAGCAGGAAAGATGTTCAATGCACTAGCCCCCAAGAGACAGCACTGAGATATCTCTATCTTAATATTTCACACCAGCAGAAGACCAGCTGTCAGAGAGAGATTCCAGAAACTGGCATGCAGTATTGCCTGGAATGTGCACAGATCAGAGGTGAGCAATCAACAGGGCAGATGATTGTATCTCAGGATTCAATGGAGAAGGGTCTTCATTACCATATATACATTTATCTAAGGTCTTAAACTGACTGATTTCAGTTCAATGAAAATGGGAAATGTCTCATGTATATTTTGATTCGACTGGTTATCATTTTACTGTTTCAAGTACAATGGAGCACATTGCCTGGGACAATTTTTTTGGGAGAAAATGTCTGTTGAAAACACTTACTGTTAATTGTCTGCTAAGCAAAATAAACACAGGGTAAAAATTTGCAGTTCATTAAATGCGCACTTCACAGATATCCTTTTAGAACTCTTTCCTTATCCTTAAACTGTAAAGTTCACTTGAAGAAGAAAAGTACACATTTCAGGACAAACTTAATCCCATAAGAAACTTAAAAATGGAATAATAACTAGTGCATACCTTTCCAACAAAACAAACATAATAACATGGTATGTTTGAAGCAAAATTTCCATGTAGAACAACTTTTGGTGCTTGTTTACCATTTTCTATGTGGGACCATTTTCATGTACAATTGTCTGTATCACCAGTTAAATTATCATGTCTTCTTTTTATTACTATTTTTACTTGATGTGACAATACCATGTATCAATCAAGCTGAAATCTTCTTCATCTTCTTCACTCATGATGTGACTTCAAAGGACAAGAGGCACAATACAAACATTCTAATTTTTAAAAAAATGACATTGGCAAAGATACAAATAACCCACAAATCATTTTAATTCAATTAGAAAATTAGAGTTGTTCTATAGTTTTGACTGTCTAACAGGTGTCAATGTAGTGCTTTTCCAGATAACCTAAAGGGCATATCTAGTGAGAAACATTCAACCAGGCAGGTAAGGTCACGCAGGATTATCCCTCTGATAGCAGAGATAATCTCAAATTGCCACCTCCATTAACTAAATCCACACGGATATTTGCTCTCTAACCAAGCTTCAGGGTAAATAACAAATACACTCAAATATATAATCCAGACTTTCAACATTCAATTTTTCAAACCTGAAATTTGTTCTCATTTTCTAGTTTTTACCATCTTAAATGAATCGTCATTGAAAACATTCAATATGGTTATATTACATTTCAGGCCATATTTTTTCTTCATTATACTGCTATCTCATTAGTATAAAAAACTTTTTTAATTTTCTTAATCCCAAAAGAATAAGCCAATACAAATACAGTGGTTTAATTACACTGCTGAGAAATAGAAATCAGGCAAACAGAAACACAAAGTGCAGCAGAGATTTATTTTTTGGTTTTGATTGGTCTAAGCATACTCGAGTTCATTTTGTCTACATAAGTGCAGAGTCTTTTTCTGTCGTGGCGCCTGCCCACCCAATAGTATATTGTTCAAGCTGAATATTCACTAAACACTCCTCATGTTATTCTTGTTAAGAGACCCACCAATTCCCAATACACTTCAAATTTAATTAAATTTCTCGAACTTCACAGATCAATAGACAGACAAAGTCAGGTGAAAACTATGCCCCTGCTTTTCCCACCCAACTCACAGTATGGTCTGAGCATGAAAGAGAAATATGAGAAACATTACAATAGCAAATACAACAAATACCCCAGCCTAACATATCAAATAATGCTTGCTTTTTAACAAACATGACTGAACTGCAACGTACACTGAGGAACGTTTACAGGATATTACCCCCACTGAATAGAATCAGAAGTCTGTGTATAGCACTCTATTAACAAGTATTTGACTGTACTTCCCAAAGGCATCAACTGAACTGAGCCCGATTTGATGTGACTGCATAAAAGTAATATTTAGAATTATTTACAGCACTTGGTATTTATAAAAGTTAAGTCAACCTTACAAGTTAAGTGCTACAGCTGTGTTGCGTAAGCTTCTCGTTATGTGCCTTATTTGAGGAGATTGAGTTAACTAATCTAACTCAATTGAAAAAACAAAAAGGAAAGATTTCAACTTTGATATATCACTTACTTAAGGTTACACAACTTTCATTATTTCTGACTGCCAGGAAGGTTTTCCCTTTCATACTTAGCATAGTTGCCCGAGTCACCTTTGAGAGAGCAGGCAAAGTAACCTGTTATGCAAATATTGACAAAGGATTAAGCAGTGAAAATACAATGCAAATCCTAGCATACCTAGGTGGCATTTATCACAGAACCTCTTCAGACCCGAAGACTGGTTGACATTACTAAAAGACTAGTACAAATGATGAAATAATAACTCCAATTTACTGGTAAACTACAAATTAATCCCAGCCATTCAAAACACCTAAGCCCTTTGCAGTATCTTGATTTACGTTGCAAAGATCGTAATTCTCTCTGCCGCTCAGAAATCTCAAACTGGATCAGGACAAAACATCAGAAGTTGTATTTCAGAGGAGACTGGCAGATCTGTGCCATTTGCCCCATCAAACACTGGCTAAAACCACCTAACCAAGAGATAAGGCACGTCGCAAAAACAGCAATGGTAGTATTACTGCTAAGACTGGTTGATGGCTTTTTGCATGAGAACAAATACCAATCACTTAAGGGTCCTTTCGTGACTAATATCTCATTATTACTTAAATGACAATATTATCATTTAACATCGGTTGTAACATCACCCTTGAGGATACACACTGTCTGCGGGATCATACAGGAAGCTTTGGAACCTAAAGACAATCAAATCCCCTCCCCTTTCTCTCTGACTCCAGACAGTGTTCAAGAAGACTTGTGCAGTTATATTCGATTAGATTTCTATCATGCTTGACAAGCTCTAGTGCATCACCATGCTATGAATAATGGATTTTTTTGGTTCCTGGAAGAATCCCAAGTATTTAATCTGTACTCATAACATCTATTTTTGCATCATTTGAAACCCCTGTGACAGTATTTCTATTAAAAACAAAAGCCCTTTTGGAGAGAGAGAGAGAGAGAGAGAGAGAGAGAGAGAGAAAGAGAGTAAAAATAGATTAAATCAATGCAGCCAATGAAAGTACTAATGTTATATTCCATGGTAACATAAATAAACATTAACAATTTCTTTTGGTCTTAATAGAATTCCGTGATAAGATGATTTAACATTCATAACTTGCTCTGGCCAATGACGGCCTACAAAGGCCTCAGCAGCTAACAATCTATCATAAGTTATTCTAATATTGTATAAAAGGTAAAAAAAATTCTACTATATGAACCCAAGGGAGGCAGTGGATATAGTGCATTAAGTATTTTTAGAGGAACATTAATCTTGACCACTAAAACCCATGATTAGAAAAAAAATTATTCTTTAAATTGGCAACCTCATTAACAAAATGACAGTCACTGGAGATGGTAAATTGACTTTCATCTTACAGAGTTTCCTTGGTAATTCTGAGATGAAAAATGGATGTCATCAATCTGTTCTTTGACAAAATACTCTTACAGTTTCTCAAGAGACAGTTCTGCCATTAAGGATTCATTTTTACTGGGTATTTTAAGGCTTTTATACACAACATACTTCCTTCCATTTTGTGCTGAATAAAATGCTGAAATAATTAACCAATATACTGCAACCGGATATTAAAACATTTGAAAGGTCTTAGACTTACAAAAAAAAAAAAATTCCACACTTGAACATCTCAATGTATCGAAACCACCTTTGTGTATGAAACCTTTACAAATGATGCTTTTTAATTGATCTTACTCTGTATCATCAAAATACTAGAAAGATATCTTGCTATGAAGAAAATGTCCAATATATTGGCTGGACTTCTATTAACCTGACACTACATAGTATGTACATGTAGGTACTAAGGTAAAAATCAATACCTTTATCAGGAAAAATTGGAATAAAGTAGAGAGTATAGACCATAAACATTTACCACATGCAAACATCATATAGCAAGCTAGAAAAGTTGACTGGAGGTAGGGAAGGCTCAGTTGGGGGGGGAGGGGTATGAAAATGAATACCATCATCATCATTATTATTATCCTCCCAGATTGTCACATGGCTCAAATTGAGTATACAATAACATTCCCTCACAGGAGACCTATCACAAACCTATTGGTATGATATACAGCTAGCATTTTATAATGTTTATCAAAATTGATCATATTTACTTTCATGTGAGATTCCAAAGTCTGCATTAGTAAATTTTATAGGTAACTTGGGCATAAGAACTACATGGCAGAAAGAGAAATCACCAGCTAATAGAGATTCCTGCAAGTCCAAAGCAACACATAGCCCTAGGCCACAAAACTGCTTCATCTATACCAATGTACATCCATAATATCATGGGAAAAGGAAGCACATTATAATAGTTCAATAACTCTCCACAGACATGGCTTACAACAGCAAGTGTGTTATCTTCTGTTGCTCAGTCCTTTTCCTAGTAAGCTAGAGCCCAAGCTGATCTTCCCAAGAGGACCAAAAGCATTCAGATCAACTGCCTTTCACTTGTTGTGTATTCACTGAGAGGGGGTTTACACATGTAACACTTGTAAAATTGCACATAAACAGCTGTAACCGGTAAATCAAGATAATGTTTTCCACAGAGAGAATCATGATAACGGATAGAGAGGAGTGTGTTCTTTTCTATTTTAGAGAGGCGGGGTTGTGGGGGGAGAAAAAGAATCCTAAGGAACCTTTGCAGGAAGAGAAGCATAAGAGTCGTGTTAAATTCACATCAACACAATTTTGAAAAAGAGGAAGTAAATATGACTGAAAATATGCAACTTTTTGTGTAAGCAATATGCAATCACCCATGCATGCATGTGCATATGTGTACCTGCATTAAATGAAAATGTCTATTTTCTAAACCAACCCACATAAACACATGCCAACATTTCCAATGTTTACCTCTTTTTTCTCACTTTCTGCCTAATTTTCCATAAGATTCTATATTGATTTCTTCAGTTTTATCCCTGCCAACTATTTCCCTTCAATCCATGACATTATCTACTCATACTTAATGCTTGCCCAGTGGGTTCCTCCATTACTGTTGATCAGAATAATTAACACAATACAAAAATAATCCCAGTTATTGGAACCAAGTTACATATTCAGTTTATGATTTTTGGATGAAAAAAGCTCAAGTGTTTTCAAGTAATCAATGATTCCCATGGCTGCCATCTTATTTAATTATCAAACGCTTACTCACACAAGCACAGGATAAATAGCAGTAAAACCCCAGTTTTCTCAGTATTCCAATCAATGGCTGAATCCCCCTAGCCATGATATTGACCTTTGTTTAGACAATTTATTTATTTTTAGCTGTTAATAATAGTATAAACATTCCACTTGTTAAAATATCTGCAAGTCAAATGAATATGAAAAATATTAACATAGTGAACTGAGCCAATTAAAGGATAGCATTATGAAGGCATGTTAGTCCGCTACCTAGAATTTTTAGCCACTGCAAAACTGTTTCAGAGCATGCCATTCTGATATTACACCATCCACATGCTGGTCAGCCACACTTTATTTCTAGAATTAAGAGACCAGATTGTAATTCATCTCACCACAGCACTGCTGCAGCCTGCCATCAGTATTCATTTCAGTGTGAAAAGAAATATGGTTAACACAGTAAAGAACGAATTTCCATCGACTTTAACACTGTTAGTTTAATAAAAGTGTCTACTCTGGCAATATTTTCTATTAAATTACTGGATATAAAAATTGACATGGTTCAATCTGTCACCCTGGGCAGAGAGTACAAGCCGCATTAAGCATTGATTTCAGCATGCCACCAAAATCAATACCTTCATACAGGCATAACCCTTTTAGATCAATTACAACATGTATTGCCCATGCCTTCACAGAACAAACTATTAGTACTAAAGACAAACACTGGGGTAAAATGTAAAAGAAGGTCAATCAAGGGCTTTTTGCTGCATCAATATAGTCTTCAATGGGTAATTTTCCAGAAGACCCATTAATATATCTTTTCATTGGGCTAGGTTAAATATTTCTATTTCATCGCCTCTGATATAAATCTATAACTAACTGACAGCTTCCTTGAGCTTTCACGATGTTTTGGAGCAAGTAATCAGTTGAGCTATTCTGTCCATAGGCACACAGACTAAGATCCATTTTTTCTATCTAATTTTCACAGCTGACTGTCAGCTAAGGTTGACATTAAAGGCTGTTTAACTGCACAGCATCCTTGGGCCTTTACTGGCAAGATATCTAAAATTCAATGAAGCTTAGAGCCGGGAGCTCTTGGATCGTGTTGTGCCTAATTACCTGAGTGCCTATTCGAGCATTCATTTTTGAAGACTTCCTAGAGACACTAACACTAAGAGTCAACTTTGGGGAATATTAGATGAATACCAAGAATTGACTGAATTTTTCAATAGTGGCCATCTCTAAATATATAATGGAGGCTCTCTGACAGGAGTTAGATTATTGCTGACATGTCTTCAGGGAAGGATACAGTTATAAGCACAACTCTAGAGAGATATCAATTTCGATCTTACAAATATTACATTTTTTATAAATTAATAAACATGAACATTGGCACACAAGTCCCAAAACGTGCATGCACTTTTAAAAAGATGACTAAAACCTTTTTTGGGGGAATGTAATATAATGTAATGTAATGTAATGTAATGTAATGTAATGTGGACAAGCTACAAATAAATGAAAAACTTTCTTGTCCCTGAAAAGAAATTCCAGCAGACCCAGTATGTTCATATTTGCCTGATGATTGACACTGAAACCAGTGAAATTTCCTGAAATCCAATTATCCATGCTGACAGTTGTGTGCATGATTAACTAAATGAATCCCTCTTCCTAAAATGATGAAATGAAGCCGAAGGGACATCATCCCAACATTGTGTAACATAATTAACAAAAATAATCAGTACCCTAGCTTATTGATACAATTTCAAGTTAGCCCAATATAACTAAAAAGCATAAGTTATAATTTTTAGTTTGATCACAAATAATGTTTAGTTTGATCACAAATAAGATATATAGCAATTTATGTCTACTGGTTTATATTACACAGTAAACATTGTTTAATTGCTTTGATGAGGTGAATGAAAAAAAATTAAGTCCACAATTCTAAAAATAATTATCTTACAAGCAAGGCATATAAAAAACAAAATAAAAGTGGGGGATCATTATTCTTAGTAAGTTCCTCCATTCAAAAAAGCAATATCTCTTCTATTCCAGCATAAATTTACTAAAAAAGATGACAACTTCTGACTTTAACAGAAAGTACAAAAATTCAAACCCAACTCTCATTTTCTCAGTTATCAAAGAGAACTGTATCTGCATGCCTTTAAACGTACAAAAGCAATTCTAAGAAGACCTGCAAAAGTGCAATTGTAATCAGCATCTGATGGTCAATAGTTCTGATTCATCCATCTTCTCTAACAGGAAAAGAGGTGCATCCAACAAAGGGATATTGACAGCAAGATGTCAACATCAGCTATCAATCACTGTCCCTGTGTCTGCCCACCTAGAAATCAGCAGCTCTGGCAAGAAACTTTATGATACGGCATACCAAGATGCCTTGAATAGCGACAATCAAATCTTTGATTTCAACATTTCTTTATTTAAAAAAAAAGTTTTCACAATCATTTGAATTATTTTAAAAAAGAACTTTTCTGTCAAATTTTATCCTTGCCCTTCCTTCCTCACTTATTATGAATACTGCGTCCCCAACTTTGGATATGTAAGCCTAAAACTAGACATAGGAATGTTGCATGTGTATAACCAATAGATTGCTGTTCTATAACATTGCATGTCTGTAAGTAATGGGGCATGGAATGACAAAGTAAAGACCTAAAAAAATGTCCTTAACGACCTGAACAAAGGTGTGTCAGGCATCCAGACATGGCACTTATGATAAGGTCAAGTTATTAAAGAAAAGTAACAGAAGATGACTGTTGTTATGACAATTGCCTAAATGTCATTTACTTTGCCCATGACATGAGAGCAAGAAGTTCCAACATCACATTTAGATCTTCAGACAGTGATGAGTATGTTTGTCAACAGAGAAGCTGTCTGGTGGTTAGGCAATGGAGATAGAAATCATGTGGTATGTGACATAGTATGAGGACAATGATGGTAACTTTGCATATCATTTTTAGCCAATCTTAAAGTCCTGGTATACATTTCAAATGGTTTAATAATACTCTCTCCGGGCCTCAAAGGCATTTAAAAGCATTGTTAAACGAAATTTCTAAACAAATTTTCTAAACAATTTTTTTATACTTTCTTTTAATTTGGAGAGAGAGAGTGAGTGAAAAAGAGAGATATAGGCAAAGAACAAAAATCTGCAGATCCACCATCCCCTCTATTCAAAAGAAAAGGGATAAATCTTCCAGTATATTTGCATTAATCAATTTACTTGCCTTTATCACAGTGATCCCCTTCAAAGTTTATTTGGCTACAGTCACAAATGGCACCCTTGTCTGTGCTCACACAAATTCCTCCATTCAAACAGGGGTCATATTTGGCACAAGGGTCACGATTGTTGGTCCGAACCCCTTGGGAGTCCAGCAGCAGAGGCCGTCCAAAAGGCTGCGAACAGTTCGAGTACATCAAATTTCGTATACTTCCTCTGAATCTTGGCTCGAATACCACAGAAGGCAAAGCTAGTTCACTAAGTCTGGCCATGTATTGAGCAGGCAGTCCACCAATGAATAAATAACTGTTTGTCTCCATTTTACCAAGTTGAAGATTACCTGCCCGTAATTTTTTTGATTGTTGCTGTTGGTCCACCTCCATTGTGACCTCCTGTCCATCTCTCCTGATCAGAACACTATGCCACCTGTTGTCATGGAGATTTTCACCAAGGGTCAGTACAGTGGCTATACCTTCGCCAAAATTCACCCGAAGTCTTACTGACCCACCGACCACTTTTGCTTCGAAAAAATCTAATTTCCCTCCATCGTCCAAGTACATTAACATCCCATTTAATTGCTCAGTTTTGAATTCAAATTTCAACGAACCATTTGTACAGGGGTTCCATTTGGTATACTTGGCGAATGATGTCGTAGAACCTTCAAGTTCAAAGGTATTACCTTCACAGTTAGTCCACAACACAAGGCAAATGCACGCTGTCACAATAAGTTGCCACATGTTGGATAGGAAATGTCTGAAACAAGGATCAACAGACCCTGTGCTTAACCCAACTTAACAGTTCCACTCAACACTGGCGAGTAAAAACATACGACGACTGGGAATCAATTCCTTGAAAAGATACCAGGAACGCTTTGAATCATTCCGTGAAAAGAAAAAAGTCCTGGCAGCACCAATGGCCTCAATGAACACCCAGTCAGGAATTTCCTCTCACCAATGTGCCAAGCTAACAGGAGTAATCGTCTCTCCTCCCCTCTCTCTCTCAAGCTGAATTCCTTTCCTCTGTAGTCAGTCAGTATCCAATGTCCACCAGTGGTCAAGTCTGAAACAAAGGACAAACAATCTGCCCTGTACAGAGTTCATCAATCATTTTTAAATGAATTAACACCTTTCATCATGGCTATCATTGCAGTGCATTTAGAACTTGATTTCTAATGAGTGATGCATCCATAACATACGACATTAGGCCACTTTCTAACTACTGGACTCGTAATAATCAATTACCAGAGAGTAACAACTCATAGTATCCTGTGCAATATTATGTAAAATCTAAGACATACCAGAGTCATTGGTCTAAAAGGGGAATTTAATATATTAGTGCCCAAGGCACACTAGAGAGACACCTACATGAAAAGAGAAATTAATTTGTGTTACAGGCACAGTAAAGAGACACGCAATGGCCCGTAAAAAAGAAAGAAAAATATTATACAGCAATTATGGATCAATCATGTTTCCCTGAATGATTAAAGCATATCATCATCTTTCCTATCCTGGCTTAATAGGATCAAAACTCCCTGAGGATTTTAAAATGGAAAGTTATTCCTCACTGGGCTGTCTCGTTGTCCAAGTGCAAATGAATTCACCTGTCAGCCTGAACTCCATCCGGCAATCCCTGGACACTCCTTATACACCAGCTATAGGCTGATTACTGGAGTCATTTTTGTCAAAATACCCTCCTACTTACCCACGGAACCCAGCAATGTTGTCTGTAAAATATGTAAAGAACCTAGTGCCTCTCCAGTGTACATTCTTTTCAGTATGACATGTCTGGAGGGAATGCTTAAAATACTTACAGTAGCAGAAATCTTCATCAACTGTTCATTTTCCTCTGCCGTGGCAAATCTTCAAAACCTACAATTCAAACATAACAAAGTACAAAATTTGAGCAAATTGTAAAATGAGGTAACTAATCTTGTTACGTGCACTGCTATTACAAATGGTTATAAAAAGTCGGCAAAAGTCTGTACTTTTTCTAAACATGTCACTGGTTTCGTGCAGTTTGCCCGTCCCATCTGTGCAAGATGGATCCAGCACTTGGGGGCAAATTTTGTATAAACATCCTTTTTGCTTGTGAAGCTGTAATTTGCCATCACCACTACATGCTTATTTCATTATCTCGGAGTTTATAACACATTCCATTGGTCGGAAAGAAATACAAACTCAAGAAAATCAGAACCTTGGTTCTGGTCCCCCTTTCCATACCCTCGCAAAAACAGACCTGATATTTGTTCAATACTGGTAAATCCAATGCTAGAAATCATCCATACCAAGGGCCAGTATTCTGCACTCTTTTCTCTGACAAAAGTATTGTCATGAAGCAAATCATCACCGATTCCCCAAACAACCTTGTACTGCACATAAAGATGAGAAGCACAGATGGTGGAAGAGGTAATGGGGTATTCTCTGCACAAATCTGATTTCGCAGAAAGTTTGATGTTATTCGGACCAAACAACCCTCCAATCAATTGCCATCGATTCAGACATTAGTTGCTGTAACTGTTTCGTCACGATGTGGCCAGATTAGCCATCACTCAGGGACTGATAACCAATAATGCTGGCCCTGTTCTGCCTATCATCACTAGCATACTAATTAGCACACACACAGATTTGCCAAAACTGTATATTATTAGATTTACTACCCTAACAATAACCCCACAGAGTTTGTCATTCTATTAAGTGAAATTGTACTTCACTAAACAGATTGCTTAAATTCATTTATGTCCACTGAGAGAGAGAGAGAGAGAGAGAGAGAGAGAATGATCTAAACCTTCACCAATACAAATTACATCCTTCAATATAAATCACAACAAAGCAATTTCATCACTCTAAATTATTATGGTCTTGATTGATGAAAGAGTATTACACTGGAGCATTGAAATGGAGGATGTAATTAATTAATTAATTTACTAATCAACAGATTAATCTACCTTTAAAGTAATACTTATCTGGTTTATATGTACAGAAGCATCTACAGTATTTATTTTCTCTGGGATCCCTAGTAACAACACATAATTTGGAAAGCTTTTTACAAGCCTCTAGGTGTTTACATAGGGGAAATCTGATTAGCAGTACCTGGTATTTTACTGAGGCATATACCACCACATCTACAGACAGCACAGCACTGGGCAAGGAGTTCCACAGCCAATCAATGAAATCATCCCTTCAACACTAAGTTCATCTTCATCATTCTTTCTCAACCTTGCTTGACCCCTGAGGTCAGTATCACAACTCCATCCAAAGCCACAGTTATGTCAATCTTTTAATAAGAAAATATTTCTGAGAAACACCTGTAAAAATACAGTTATCATACTCCAAGCTAGACTGGCTCTTAACTGGTTTCATCAGGAAACTGTCCTGTGAGTAAATCAGTTATAAAAAATGAAATAATCTGAACTAATTGGACAAAGCTCTGATGAACAAGCTTGGTCTTTTTGATCTAATTTAAATTTAAAGTAGTTTCCCAGTGACAAGAAGACAATGGATTTTGTCATGTGATACCTTGGTAATTTTGCACTAACAATCTAATGCTCAGTAATAGGAATTTCCTTCTGATCTCTTTTGAGATCAGCTTCATATCTGAGGCTGTCTGTCAGCAAGCAACTGTTGGTGTGCAATAAAGGAGGGGAGATTTTTTTACAGCTAACTGCAATACAAGTTTTACAGCATGGGAGCCAGTGTGGAATGTCACTTACTGCCTCATATAAATGAATCAGAGGAGAAAATCAATGGTATAGTTGCTACTTTCACTATCTTCATACCACACATGCTTTGCAACATTCTCTTGTAAAGGCATCATCTGGACCTCTGGTTGAATTATGTGTGTGGTTTCTTAATGCCCATCTGTATATCTTTTAACCATCTAACCATCAGCATACATGTTCTTCTCATAAACAACAAAAGAGCATTTCTGCTTAATATCAACATAATTAAAACAGCAAGTCTGCAAGCAAAAAAAACTGTTTATAAGTAAATTCTTAATATTACATAAAAGAGTTGAAATACTTCTAAAAAAACTTACAAGCTATGGAGCTAGGTAGCAGTTGCAGAAATAAAGCACTACTTACTATTCATTTGTGCAAACAAAATTTGAACACTGCTACATCTATGTCCAAAACCACCCGAGTAAATGTGCCCAAACAAACCAAGGATAACTGAAGTTAATAGTCAGTCTGGAAACTCTCCATGCTATCTGCTATACTCAGCAGATGACAATGATTTGGCATTTGTTTGTAAAACCATCTCCTCCCAGTGAAAACTAACCCATCACTCAGTAGCCTAAACACAGGTCAACTCCTGGAACACCTCTGGTCTCCCTGATGTGCACAGGGTCCATGAAAGATATAGTACAGTGTGTGCTGGATACAGTAGCCTGGGAAATTGGCCACTGGATCTTGTAACTTGGCCTCAGGTAAGAGAGATAACATCCTCAGCTTGAAATCTGCATCTGTAATCACTCTCAACTATTAGTACATCAAAGCCAGCTGGCAATACCAGACCTGGCTAATATGTTTAGTTTTTACTTGTAAGCTTCTAAGATGCCAAGTAAAATTGCTTTGTTCTTGTCCTACAATGCTCGACTTTTTCTATTTATAAATCACTGTTTATTTACTGATGGACCTTCACCATAGCAGCCCATTTTAGAGCAATATCACACATTTTTTGGTATAGCAGACCTTTGTCATAAAGAACCTTTTTTACATAGGGCTATCCCCTAAGAATTCGCATTTGATGAAGCCATAACCTTGCTTGTCTTCTAAATAAACTACACTATGCATATCTTTCCTTAACTGGGAAATTAATTGTAGCTCTCACTTCCTCGTAATTGTGAAAAGAAAACTGATACTGTCACATCTTTAAAGCTGTTAATGAATTAATATGTTTACAGATTAACTTAGGTAAGGGAAAAGCTATACTTCTCTATAGTAGAACAGCCAAAAAAAAGTATTACTCTGAAAAAATCTGTTCCAAGGTAAAGGTTTATTTCTTTCACCATCCCAAAACCCATCAGCCTTGCAAAACTAGGAGCAGTAGCATACAGCCCTGTTGAAATCACTGAAGACAATTACCTATGAATTAATCAGAAAACAGAACATATGTGTTCACATATCTTTTGATAACCTGATAATGGGACCCTCTCTCAAAGCACACCTGGTGATTTATAAGATATACAGTCTGGCTAATAGATTTACTCCCACGCGTAACACAGAAGCATTAATTACATTCACTCGACAGATTATGCTAAATTTCAACAATTCTTGTCTTATTTAACTCCGCTAAAAAAAGTACATGTATTTCAAAATAATTCAAATTACGCCTGATTTGCCAAATATTTTTGAAGTGGGTAACAAGGGGTGAGGAGTAAGGGGTAACCTGAGTGAGTCAATCTGAAGTTAAGTACTCCTAAGGTCAAATATGCATATAAAGCCATGTTTTTTACCTCATTATATTATATTATATATATATTTGTCCTTAATTATCAGATGCTGCACTACATCAAAACAATTACTCGAATGACAATTAAAGATTGTGGTTAATATTGTCAAAGCAGAAAATGCATATTCTAAATGTGAAATGATTAGGATTCAAAGATGTTAAATAACTGTTTAACATAACAGACGCTCACCACTGCACTGGTATACATCCCATTCTTATTCAACTCATAATTTATCTTCTCTGCTCATTAAGATAAGTCTCCCCTAAGCATAACTCAAGCCAACTAGAACAGTTAAATTGCTAGAAAATTGGTTTTTCAACAGTTGTACACAATATCTTCATCTTTTTCACAATCTAAATTGAGTCTCAGTTTTTATCAGATTATGAGATTATGAATATGATAGCTGCTTAAACGGGCCAAAATTACAAAGGTGCCAGCATTATAAACACTAGTTTAGCTGAAAGTGAATGTACATGTTGACAAGGGAAAAGAGATATGACAGTTAGTCAGCCAATTTAATTGTGTAACTGGTGAAGCCACACATACCCTCCTTTTATCCATACATTAAGCCTGGCTTTAATCTTATAATGAATGAAAAGATTGATTACCTGAGCTATGCAAGTATAACCCCACATAAAATATTCAGCTTCAAAATATGCTACACAGACATGGAAAATATTTTTTTCTGCACCTGGTGGCATCCATCTACCTAACAAAATATTTATTCTCTTTTTTTTTCAATTGTTGTGAGGTTAGATATTAGACCATGCAGACAGTAAACAAGAAGTGACTATCAAATGGTTTATCTCACTGGAGACCAAGAAACCATTAATATTTATCCTTTTACATGAAACTTATTATAAGCAACCACCAATAAATCACTTGATAAAAAGAAACAGGGGGGCTGCATACAAGTCACTCGGTGCTTGTTCCATACAGCCACTCCCCTCCCCAACATTTGCCTTGTAGCCAAGTCTCACAATAATACTGCTTTGGCAGAATGCTCACAATGAAAAAGTCAATTAAAAGCTGAGAGCAGGTTCATACCTTCTGGCTAAAATGATTACGACCACTAACCTTCCATTACATAAATATTATGAGATGCTGTAATCTGATGTAAGTGCCACTTTTCACAACCTAACTAATTCATTTGCTGATACACTGCCAATTTTATACAAAAAAACAGTAATATTCCAGCACATTTTAGCCATAGTACACTCAATTCACCAAATGAATTCTTTACCCTCTCCATTTTAATATGAGCAAAACTATGATAAGTAAAACTGGCTTTGGGAATGAAGTTTTACTTTTTTTTCAAAAGTGTGTAGTCCATTTAGACCACTAACTGGGACCATCACACTAATACTAATTATCCAAGCCATGATTAACTGTTCATCACAGCAGGTAAAGAAATCATGCCCCACATAAATTGGATGGATTCAAACACCTCCTTCATAGTTACACGTAAAATATACAATCCCTGCTAAATTTAGCATGAACTGTCTTCTTAATGCAGATGTTAATCAACAAGGTTCTGGTTAGTTGTAACTCACAGGAAGCTATTTGTCACTCAGTCAACATCAGGAACTGAGGTGGTTTTAACATTCATTCTTGTTTGCTTAGCATTAGAGTTGGATTGATTTCAACGTCGGTAATTTTTACATATATGCAACATAACTTTTTTATGCTTAAAATTTCTTTGCAAATTATTTCATTGACATGCAGTTTTTTTACTTACTAAATACATGCATTTTTCACTTGCTTAACCAGGATTGGAATCTTTTGAATTGGTAACTAAATTTTACAATAATGATTGTCAATTTACATAATGCAGAAAATCATGGGAAAATAAGCCAGATCCGCCTTACAAAAATGAATGACTATAAGCCCATTTAATCAAACTTACTGTATTCTCCAAGCCTTGTATTCTACTTCTTCAAAGAAAAAAAGAAAAAGAGCAAAGAGACATGCACTATCTTTCTGGTGGCTGGTCAACTTATGTTGACAGCAATGACATGCTTAACTCAGCAGAAGAATATACCTGTGTCATTATGTATGAATTAACAGATGAAGTCTCCCTACTAATTATCTGAGACACCCACCTGTCTTCTCCCTATCTCTCTTGCCTGTAGGCTATCATGTTGGGAAGTACGCAATCAGACCAATCAGGGACAAGTAGAGCACACTTCACTATGTCCTGAATATATAGGTGAGTTACTGACCATTACTGGCTTCTCACCCAATTAAATACCTCATTACTTCTGAGAAACAAGCTTTTTATGTAATGTAGGTAACATGTTTACATTTACATCTCCCCCCCTCTTAATATAATGAGACATGGCAAAAGAGTGACATCTTTTTTTTCCCTTTCAAGCAAACAATTTTTTTTATCTACAAGCTCCCTATGAACAATTTAATTTTTCTGTTGTATAAATTTCCAGTAGTAACAGAAAGACCAGATGCTGGCTCCTAAATTATTTCCAAGTGAGGTAAATCACAATACATCTGCTCCTCTGAGATGGGACTCTGGTCTATACTATCACCATTGAGAACCCAGTATCTCTTGTGTACCTGAAGCCTAAGTTATTATCTGCCAGCTCTAATAGATCACTGTCAACATAACAAATCACACCCCATACAACAATCTTTCTGAAGTTTGCTCAGCCTTCAAATGTGTTCAACCAAGGGTCTGCTTACCTTCTAATCACTTCTAACGACAATATCAAGTTCCTTTGCAGCTTTTAACTAAAGATCACACTTTGGGTGTTTTTTCAAAAGCTCCCCATAAAAAGAAGGTAAAAGAATTCTTTGGAGTTAATACAACAATGCCATGACAATGTGAAATAGGGAATCAAACACTGTCTGATCCCCTTCCTGAGGCAATCTGTGCTCAGTTTTCACTCAGTTCACCTGGAACCAGCCAGATTACACTAGAATGCCCAATTTCAAAGCAAAATCTGGTGGTACAAGACCTCAACATAAACCCAGGATTAAAATACCACAGGCCTGGCTAACAAGCAAGCAGACGTATGGTAGACGTGTTCTAACTTGATTCTTCCACCTGTGATTTTTGCTTTAATTCAACCATTTATAAGATGTAAATGTATGGGTTAATTTAAAATTGCAGGAATTTCCTTTTGGTAATTGGCTGCTCAGATTAAGGAACTTGTTGACAGCTATCACAGACATACTATGACTCAATTTCTAAACAAGAAATGTGATTGTTTAAAGAACCCCAGGCTAAGGGCATTTGTAGACAGGTCAGACCTTTTGTATTTTTTCATGTAAATTTTTTAAACTGTAACTCAAGACCTTTAAATCAAATTGCTATTTTCCATTAAAATTGAATATACATTTAATATACAAAATATTACTATGTTTCACCCATCAGAACCTCTCATAATTTGATCACTGGTCGCAGATGCTTGGACTCAGGTAGTGAACGGGGAATGTCAACAGAAACCCACACACATGCCCCATAGCAGGAGCACTATATCCATATCTCAAGGGGATTATTTGCAGTCTTTCAAACCACATATTACTCAGACCTCTTACTGATTGTTTCTACAAGCATTATAGGAAGTCTGAATCAGAGGAAATAAGGCTTACCTGAAAAATTTTTCTTAATCTTTGTTTTCTGTTTAAAACGGAAAACCTTTTTTCACCATGCGTACTAGTATGTGCATATTCAGCACTGAAAAGCAGTATTACATGTATAAACATTTCTAATCCGGGCACCTGGGAAGTTATTATAGATATTATAAACCCTAATATGTTCATGCATCCCACAACACTTGTCACCTTTGTATTAGACAGCAAACGGAGTTATTTGCAATATATCACTTGCAACAAGTAAAGAAAAGAAAATCAATTTCCTTCCCTCTTTCTCAAGGAGCACTATCAGATTCCACTGTAATGCCATCATTGTTTATTCTCTCTTTACACAATTTCATCTCCAGTTTTCTCCATTAACTTCAGCAAACATCATTAAAAAATTCCCAAAGCCTGATCCCATTCGATGCTAAAGGATAAAAACTTCACTTTCAGATATATTCAAGAATCTGATCAATAAACAAATTTTTCGAACAGGGAAACAAAAGTGAATGTATAAAGTGCCACTGCTAGATATTGGTTGATAATCAATACAGCACTTGTTCCCATGCTTCCCTGGGATGTCTATAGAGCCAAGGCCATAACTTGGTTGACATTTCCCCCTATCACTATTACTCAACTTTACAGCATGCTGACAAACAAGGGCTGTTGATCTGCAAACAAGAGCAGACTACTATGGAATCTACGGTTTAAGGACACTGTTACCTCACCTGGGGATAGATCTAAAATAAATATTATCTAACCAGACCAAATGATTATAATAGTTAAATAAATACATTACTGAACCAAAGAAAATTGTTCACCAAACTGATTCATGAGCAAAAAAAAAAAAAAGTGTAGACTCTTTTCATGATCAGCACCTGTGAGGCTGACAGTACCAGTGTCATGCATGTTGTGAACCCGCGAACTCAATTTTCAGAAATTTGCTCACATAATAAGTGCAACACATCAATTCAAATTCACCTGCAACTTCACTGCTTTTTTCAATGTTTCCACAATTGGCTGTACAATCCAGAATGTAGTCACCTATATTGCAGACATTCAAATTTTTTTAGGATTCTTTTTTTTTTATACAAATAAACTAAGAAGGCAAGTTGGCATACCAAATGTAGGAGACTGTGTATCAAGAAATGCCAATAATATTACGAACAGAATCTTCAACATGCATACATAAACCAGAAGTACTGTTAAGAAAATTATCCTCTGTATTTTAGGTGTACTAAACTATGCACATACTTCCTCACTAGCCTGTATGTTAAGCGATTTAAGAAGAGGGATCAATGTAGATGAGACAATCACAGTGGGCTTCAGTGTTGAGTAGTGCTTTGTAATTATTGCAATCAATTCATATATTGATCAGCGTCCTATTATGGCTGCGAAAGGCATGCACCACAGCAACTAAATGTACGACTCGGAAAGAACTCAAATCAACTTACCGTGTATTTATGAGTATGTGTGTGTGGCTTTTCAGATCTTCCTTCAGTCACAGCTTGTGTGCAGAAACAATGCCCAACAATCTGGTCATAAATACTAAGCAGGAGCTCATGTTGGAATGGCATAGGCAAATGACTACATACATGTACATGTGCCCAGACAGGTGTTCCCAAGTGACCTGGGTCCTTTTTATCAGTCCTTTAATCAAGAATTCAAGGACATCCCTCTATCCACCTTTCCCACGTTCTGACTTAATTGGGGCAGTGTTACATGTAAATTACTGTTCATTGGAAGGACACGGCCATCAAACAATGTTTTACTTCACCATGTACAGCTAATAGCTATATTGTGTGCTGATAATCGTGGAATCTCATTATCAACTGTTGTTTCTGGGTGACTGCTTTAATAAGAAATATGCCCCCCCTTACCACCCTTACTCTAGAAAGTCCTTCACAATCTACCTGTATGGCTTATAATGTCATGAATGTTTAATAGATGACCATGGAAGAGTCGATATTTGGTGAAACATTGAGCAAAAAAAAATATAGGTACAGTTTACTAATAATCATATTCTATCTTTGTGTGCAAGAAAGCCTTGCTGAGCATTATTTTACCTAAATATATACGTATACACAAAGGGATTAAAGGGCGATGGTTTTAAATTGCCAGACAGGGAAAGCCAGACATAATTGTGTCTAACTGATTGTAAAATGAACACATGCCAGAGGGGTATTCATTAATAATCAGTTAACCATAACAATCTGGAAGTTGAGTTTAGAGGGGCTATGCCTGGGATTTTTTAAACATAAATATGCAATTAACAAATTTTCATTGCTTCTTTATTAATTCTCTTAATTGTAGTTCCCAACTATAACATGACAATAAGTCAACTATAACATGACATAAAATATCACAAAAATTTGCATTTTTTTCTTTGCTTTCTTCTTCACGGCTTAAGCTGAGTGAACAGCTGAATGCATTTTTCACTTTGCATTAAAATGCAATTTTTCAACAGGGGCATTTCTTTCATTATATCCAAAGAATGTAATATCCCTTTGATATATGACTAGAGGCTAACTTCAAAAAAAAATAACAAGACTGAAGAGAAATCTCTTGTACAGTCCCTTTAAGTAATCGCTCTCCTAGTGTTAAGGAAGCAACCACTTAATTTTTGAAATACCAATAGCAACAGGCATATCTTGAATTTAACCACGCTGATACCACAAAAATACCAAAAAGACACTTGTTATCAACCAACTCGATAAATTTCTCCTTAATAAATAATTTACATTTTTTTATTGAAGTTGTTGTTCACATTATGGTCACCCATAAATTATAAAAAATTATAGAATGATGATAGAGAGAAAAGACCTTTCTCTAGAGACATATTTCTAATCTATTGATTGCAGTAAAAAAATGCCTATCCATCATGGCTGGAGCAGAGACAGGAGCAGTGTCATCCATTACTCTTCTGCCCTGACATACAGATCTTCAGCAAGGCATTCTATATATGGTGACTGAACCAAAACGTACAAATCATGCAAAATTAACTTCATATCACCTGTGATTTCTGCTTGTGTTATTCATATTTTCTCTTTGCCAGGGAGCTCCGTTGTACAAGCGCTAATATAGCATTTCAAATGAATCACCTGCTGTTGTGTGTTTGAACTTACTGGTATGTCTATAGTACCTACATAGCTTTTCTTTCACTATTTCCTCTCTGCCTCTCCAACCTAATATAATATCTGGCTAATGATGAATGTGTTTCAGTTTAACTCCAAACAAAAAGTGTCAGTGAAGACAATTTTTTCCCATTTACCCCATCAATTCTCAAGCTGTCAGTCACCTCTTTTGGCTTTAACAAACATGTTTGCTGTGGATATAACAACCCATGGATTGACAAAGAGACCTCTGTTCGCATGGAATACTTTCCCTTTCATGCAAAGAGCAGTAAAATGATTCTGTATTTTTCAAACATTTTAAGCCTGATTGTTTGCTTTGTATGTGGACAGAATGCAAGATTTGTGCTGTTTGCATCTGTGTATGACCCCACACAGTAAACCTGTCTTTCTTAGTATTGCTTTTCGTCTGATTGCAAGAGGGAAACAGTTCACGACAAAAGGCCTGGAACACACATTGACGGGGGTAGCCAAGCATTTTCACTTCCAAAATTGACCTCTTTCACCCCATCCCCAACTATTTGTATTTCTATACATCTGGTATTAAACAGAACAAAAAGAATTTTTTCTGCAAGTACGCCAACACTGCTCTGGAATTTGCTATTTAAACAAAATAAAAATCATCTGAAATGTAAACACACATACAACATAATATAATGGCATAAGAAAAAATTTCTAGAAAAAAAGCTAAAAAACTAAACTGTGTACTGAACAGCCGAAAATGAAATTGAACAAGACGACGTGTCTAATTTCTAAATTCCATCATTCCTCAACGCTCCCGACAGAAAAGCAATCAATACTTTCGTTTCACTTAGCGAGTAAAAATTCTAGGCTGATATACGCTGTAGAAATAAACAAACCGTGGAAGTCTGTTGTAGGTTTCTAGCTGATTGCCATGAAAAAAGTGTGATTATAAATTCATGGCAAAACATTCCCAACCACGCCTGAAACAACCAGAAACCCAGCCCAAGATAACACGCGTACGGTCTTTTCAAAAACGTATGCAGTGGCGGTGACATTATAATTCATACCTGCATATAAAAACACGCATCCCTATATTTACCGAAAATATACATATATGAATTAATGACATGTTCGCCCACCTTTTATCTTCCTTTGCTCACTTCACCTGGAGCCATGTACTTTAAAAACTTCTCCGGCGCTTGTCACCTCGCTTCTGCTCCCTCTGGGCGACTTTCAACCTGTCAGCCTCTTGCCACACGAGGGCAGCACAAGCAAGTGCAGATCAAAGAAAAGCTCAACGGATCTTGAAACATACTTCGCTGTGGTCCAGCCAAGAAAAGGTGAAGACAAATTGTCCAAGCTGATAAGGCATTCATTTGAGTGCTTTCAAGAAGCGACATCAGCCACTTTGTAGCCTTCATATATATATATATATATATATATATATATATATATATATATATATATATATATATATAAAAGCAATAAATACAATATTTATATACAGTATATTGATTGATTGCTTTTATATAGTTTTTCATTATATTATTTTTGTAACGTTATCACGATAAATCAATGTTAAGTTTTGTGATTGATTATAGCCTTCTTGCCTTAAATGTTCTACTGTTACCAAAGCGAAGTAAAGAAAGTAAAAAAATGTCGGTAAATTACTTTTGGGTTTTGAATGAATAAAAAAGGTAAAAGATGTATATTCCAGTTATTCTTTTAAAAAAGAAAAATGAATGATTAAAATCCGTTTTATATTTCGAGACAATAACTCCCTTCTATGTTCTTTAAGGTCATAGGTGTAGAACCCTGGACCCCCTCCCCCCTTTTTAATGGTTAGCACTTAGATCTCCGATAGTGAACTCTGCTCATTTGTGCGTATTCTGCGTATTATCTGGGACAGATTCCTGCTGTTTACAGATGTTATTCTGCTGTAAATAAGACGTTAAGCAAGATTTACGCATTTTGAGTACTGTTATGTTGGCAACTCCTCGAACCCCTGTTCAATTTTGCTTCCTAAGTGCCCCATTCATTCCGTCCTGTCCATCTTCTTCATTGATCCAATATAGTTCTAGATTTAATTCGCCTACATAGTTTAATTTCATTGTGACCATCAAGATGCGACATCAAGATGCGACAGACATTTTCCATCAAGATGCGACAGAAAAAGACTAAAATAAGCGATATGTGTTTAAAAAAAGCTTAAGCGTCTTCACTGCGGATCCAGAATTTTCTCAAACTAGCGGGGGTGGGGATGGACGGAGGGTGGTAACAGGGAGGGGGGGGCAAAAGAATAACAGAATGACTGCCTAAAATTTACAAAAGAAAATGCTTTGTTTTGTTTCGTTACAGTTGTTATGTAAGAGGAGATAAACGTATTCGATTTTTTTTTCTATTGAGATATGTATGCTACTGGTTCACGTCAAAATATGTCCTGACGACTTAACCTTATCAATTACATTCCAACGACCTTCGTTGATTTGCCATAAATTTGCAACGTTCCGCGGGACACTTGCTCTCGGCAAAATTTTATATATCTTGGTCTCATCAGTACGTCTACTAGGGCGTGTTCTGTGGCACTGTAATTCTATATTTCGTTGGTCACGTTACTTTCTTAAACAATGTTATCTCATATATGAAACAAAAGGTTAGTAGCTTATTATGATTCTTTGCTTGAGTGTCTTGGGTCAAGTTAAATATATCGCCGTTTTAATAGAGTGAAGTTGTAGTTCACTGTATATCTCTCACTAATGAAGCTGTTAGCAAATGTTGTGATTTCTCATCACGGGATTGCGTGTAGTCTAATGTTTTTCTGTGTTTCCCGCTCCTGAATCCCCTGCAGTGGTCTCCAAGGCGTTCGTGGTATGCTCCATAATCAATAGTAAAAGGTACGATTTCCTTAATGACTGATAAGCAAGGTAAACACCAAGTAGCGTGCGCGACACGTTGGACGAGATGCTGACGTGGAACTGGTGGAAGTCTGCAGCAACAAAGCTTCATCTGTGACAGTGTTATTATTTGCAGAAACGCCGTATTAATTTTTTCTCCGAAAAAGGAGGAACAACTATGGATCAAATGCTGCACTAGCAGTAGGTTTTGCTGTGGAAGCGTTAATAAATTTGAGGTACGTTTGGTTTAAAAACATGATCATAGCCTTAATTAGAGTAATTTAATTTTTCAGTTATTAAAATCATAATCGGTTGATATAGACAGTGAATATGTTTTTCGTATTTTGAACTTAATAATATAAATTTCAAAAGTAAGGATTGTTCTCCATTTGGAACGGAATTTAATTTTTTCTCCGTTGAACAGAGATGGTTATAATTGCGATAGCTGTATAGAGACACAATGGATAAATTGTGTTTTCAGGAGTGCCTGGAGTAAAAAGGAAAATGCGGCTTTTACTACTGCTGGTGGTAATGTGTTTGTTCTTTGTGAGGTAAAGTACTCTAAAATACCATTACTTCATACTCGTAAGATCTTCACTATATTTTCACACCCTTTACTACATCATCCATATGATAAATTAGATCAAGATATAAACTCTGCCGAATGTATTTTCAATTCTCTGCCTTATCTTTAAATAATAACATTACATTCTTTAACATTGATGGTTATATTATGTCTGGATTAGTTATTCAATCAGAAATTCCTTTCAGCGAGTCTTCATCTAGTAGCACAGGCGAGTGCATCTGTAGTACATGTACAAAGACACATTTTATTACTCAGTTTACTTACTTTTACAGCATATTTTGCCACAAGGGTAAGGTTCCCGACAGCAAACCAAGACAAGAACATAGTCATACCGTCCAAGGCAACCCTGAACAGGAATCCTCCAAACGCAAACAAAATCATGGACAAAAGAACTCCGATGGCAAAAATGAAAACACAAGTACCCCAGGTGCACAAAAGGCTGAGCAGGGGAAGGTCAAAAGAATAAAACATCCAGAACAACACGTGGAAAAGAAAACAAAAACACACTTGGACAACAAAATGCCTGATTTGAGCACTAAACCCAAAGAACATCCTGGAAATAAGGAGAAGGATAATGATAAAAAGTCCGTCAGCAGAGATGTCCCTGTAGGTTCACATATAAACGCAGCAGAAGATACGAAAGCCCAGCCCAAAGTCGACAAAGCAGGAAAACACACACACAGTCACGATACAAGGAAACAGCAAAAGCTGGAAGTCAACAGAGTGGCAGATAAAAAAGTGTTGACAAGTGCTGATCAGACAACCTCGGACACCAAAAAGGCCTCACTGAAGCATATCCCAGATTCTGTGCCAGAGGAAAAATCTAACGATAAACTGAATGCAAAAACAACAATGAATAAAAGAAAGGAAGATCGGGTATCTGGTGGGAAAAACAAAGTCACAGAACCTGCACAAACATCCAAAATAAAAGAGACAGAAAAAACAGATCTAGATCAACGACATAAGAATGAGATAAGAAGTACGAATGAAAATTCAACAAAAAAGTTGCAACCAAAAGCAAACGATATGATACAAACCAACACATCCAAGACAGAGACATTTGAAAAGCAATCGATTACAAAACAACGTCATAAGTTTGCAGGATTTACAACAAGTAAATGTAAACAAAAAGATGCAGCCAAATGCAATAGATGGGACCATTTGAGACTTGTAACCGATGAAAAATTATACTTCGGCAATGCAAGTGACACAGTGAAAGTTAGAATCACATCAGATAAAGTTGTCAATGATTCGAAAAAAGATACAACTTTACAGTCTTCTTTACAAGCCCATCAGCTCCAGAGGAATAATAACAATACTGAAGTTTCAAAGATGATTGGAACTGCAAAAAACGCTCCCTTGTGTTCGTTGTGCAAAATATCTTACCCAAGCTCTCATGTCGCGCCAGAGTGCAGTGCTTTTATGTATATGTGTGATATACTTTTATCTCGTGAGACATATTCATTCAGTGAGGAGCCAAGCCTACCAGATGTAGGAGAAAGTCATTTTTTATCAAAGAAAATGGAAGACAAAGAGGAGGAAACCGTCACAGGTGAAGATATCGCTGTGATGGAAGAAGTGTCGGGTGTCAGTGAGGAAGAAAGAGAAGAGGATGCAACGAAAGGAGACAATGTAGGTGATGAAAAATATATAAAGGATGTAATTAATGAAGAAGAAGACGATGAAGATGAGGAGAACGGCAAAGCAGAAAAGGAAGATGAGACCGCAGAGGGAGAAAACAAGGAGAAAATCGACGAAGAGCAAGAAAACAGCAAACAGAAAAACAAAAGGAATAATGACGATGAAAACGAAACAGAAGATGTAAGCGAAACAGAAGAAGAGGAAGCTGGGATTGAAAGAGAACAGCAAAATGACGATGACGGCAGGGAAACCAGAGACGATTCAAGTTCAAGTGAGGATGCAGTCGTTAAGGAAATAAATGAAAATCAAGACAGTATGGATGAGGATGAAGGGTCGTCTAAGCAAACAGAGGAAACAAAAACAACTGATATTAATGAGGACGGCAATGTAAGCGAAGAAGACACAAATGAAATACATTTAAATACACAAAGGAGCAATGAAAACATCGTTGATAATTCTGAAGATGAATCATCTGAAACGGACTCTGAAAAATTAACCGAGGATCAGAACGGAAAGGAATCCGCCCCCGAACATTTCTCTGAAGATTTTGAAAATTCAGAAGATGATTCTGAAACGAATGATCCTGAATTAGATAAAAAATATTCCTCGCCTTCCAGCACATTAAAATCGGATGCAACACTCGAAAAATTAAAAGACATGAACGCGCAAATATTGCGCCTTGAAAACCAATTTCTAGGAAAAGCATTAGAAGAAGAGAATATGCAAGTTGAAAAAACTAAATTGGAAAATCAAATATTAAAACTAGAAAACACTTTACTACTGCTAAATCAAAGTTTTAACACATTGCGAGCAGATAGCGAAACCATGAAAAGTCAAATTAAAAACCAAGAAATGTCACAAACCGAACAAGTATCAAAAGAATTAGCTGTCAAGGACAACGCATTGTCAGTTAATGTTCAATTACAAATTATTGATTTAAACAGGATAATTAGAAAACAATCATGGGTACTTGAAAGACTAAAGAGAAAATGGCGCAAGCAAGAAAGCCAAGATATCAAGCTCCAAAACTTGCAGTTCCAGCAGAGGAGAATGTTGCATAATTTGATGCAGAGAATGGATGCGCTAGAAGCATCTCGCAAAGATGAAAGTAAAACTGTTAGTGAAGAAAACAGGCCTGTGCGATATAGCAGCACCAGTCCCAGAGGTTAGTGGCAATACCTATGTTACTTTCTATCTTAAGTCATTTTGTATCATTTTAGTATCGAAGTTTTAATTGGTTTTGTTCATGTTAATCCATGGAAGTATAAATGGCGTGGAAGTATAACTGGGATGGTTAATCCTACAATCAACGTATTAAAGTCATTTTGTTTAGACAGTTTTTTTTTCACAAACAATCTATTTCACATAAAAAAAAGTTTGGCTGAGTAAAATAGAAAAGTGACCTGGAACACTTCTGGGTTTTAAAATGTAATATTACAAGCAAATGGTGCTTTCCTTCAGACTTTGGATCTCTCTCTCTCTCTTTTCTATGACGTAGTGATTAGAAATTGGGCGTCATAATTACCACTGATGTACACGTCGCCAACTTTTGATGTTATATCAAGCTTTTCAGACAGGACACCCAATCATTCTAAATGAAAAAGCTTGTACGTGTTTAAGTGAGAGTTTACAGCAAAATAAACTAGTGAATAAATAGACAGTAAATTGAAAAACCAAGAAGTAAACTGGTTCTTAAGAAAATATTTTATGACTGCATTATTACTCCCGTCTTTCTTTCCCTGTGTAAATTATGAACTAAAACTTTTTCATGACATCACAGTCAAAACGTGCGTCGTCATAATAAGACTACAACTGCATTTCGGTACTTCACGGAGTTGAGAAGGATCGGATAATTATTCTGAGTGACAATGGCAATTTTAGAGTTAATTGATGAGTAAAAAAGGACTTTGGGGGAAACGTATTGATGAATTAAAATGTTTCATCAAGTCGAGAATTAAGATTCGTCTTAGCAGGTATTAATTTCTAGTTATGTCTGTTTTATAATATAAGGCCCATCTTGTTACAGAAGGGAGAATATGATTAAGTTTTGAAAGTAAGTCGGAAATAGGTGGCATCCAGCATAATTTTGTGTTGAATCAAAGAAATAACTATTTTTTGTACGAGACACGATATGACGATATAATATGGTATTGCGCAAGGGATTAAATTTCCTTTTAGTCTATTCTTTGATGCTCACGATGCTCACCCATGTTAGTGTAGGCCTGCTTGTTTGTTTGTTTGTTTGTTTGAATGAGTATAAAAACGCGCGTGAGTATTAAAAACGCGCAGAGGAAATAACACATTCTAATCTTTTGCAGATTGTTATGATTTATATCTGGCGGGAGAAAAAAAAGACGGAGTTTACAAATTTGAACTCAATGGAAGCCAAGACGCAATGGAGGCATACTGCGATATGGGCAGTGGGGGGTGGACTGTTGTACTACGGCGTTCGACAGGAGACGAGGACTTTTTTCGAACTTGGAATGACTACAAACGCGGCTTCGGAGGTATGACGTTTTACATACATTGGTTATGTAAATCGGTTGATCAATGATTTAGTATAGGAAAAATAAAAATTTGTGTTTAAAGTAAAAGTACAATCAATTTTACATTAAAACTTCTTCAAAGTTCAATTTTATCATAGATAACAAAGAAGAAATTAAATCCAATATTTCAACTTCATTTCTTTACTAGATCCAGAAGGAGACCACTGGCTAGGGAACGATGCAATCCACCAGTTAACTAACCACAGACCGTACAAATTATACATAGACATGATGGACTGGGAAGGCAACCAGGCACATGCAGAGTATTCACATTTCCAGCTGGAAGCCGAGGACCAGGGATATCGTCTCCGGGTGATGGGATATAGAGGGACTGCTGGGGACGCGCTCTCTAAACACAACAACCAAATGTTTTCAACCAAAGACGTAGACAATGATGAAGTTGAAAAAACTTATGGAGGGAGTTGTGCTCGGCGGTTCAACGGCGCGTGGTGGTACTATAAATGTTACAAAGCCAACCTGAATGGAGTTTATTATGTTGGGGGGGAAGTGCCAGGTAATAGGTTTGATGGAATTGCTTGGAAACCGTGGAAAGGCATTAATTATTCACTGAAGAAAGTCATCATGAGGATCAAACCTTATGCGTAGATTACGACGCATTGGTTTCTGGCAAATGGACCGCGCGAAAAGTGTTATTTTGAAGCTTTTCTTTCTTTTCACACACACACACAAAAAAATAATAATAAAATAAAATAAAAAATAAATAAATAAATAAATAAATAAATAAAATAAAATAAAAAAGTTTTTATGCCTATATCGATGTATTTCTATGAACTATCATTGTTGTAAAAAATATAGGTTGAAACTTTTTTTCAGTTTGTCGATTGCAATAATCAAATTATGGATTACAATTACTGAGGACATAAAAAATTGCGTTAAAAAGTGCGTAAAGTGCGTTAAAAAATAAATGATGTTTTTACAATGAATGGAAGTTTCAATTTTACATGTTTTTGATTCAAATATTGGTAAAATTTTAATATGGCTGTTATTATACAATGACTACAAGTTTAAGTACCAGTTAATTATTCATTTTATGTTGTTGATAAAATTATCTCAACAATGAAGTTACATTTAATGGCTGGGATTTCAGAAATACGTCGGAAATGATCAATTCGGAAGGTTTTCCAACAACAACTAATGACTAATGAAAATTAGAAAAAAAGATGTGTATTTAAAAAAGAACAAACCATCAGGAAAACAATGAAGGCAATTAATCAATTTTAATTTCAATTCTTTAATTGACAACAATTAAACACCTTTTTACACCCAGAAAGGGGTCACTGGCTAGGTAAAGATACAATGCAGTAACTTTATCCATGGATAGTTCAAATCATACATAGGCATGAACAGGTTAACCGGTTCCTCCCCCCCCCCCAACACACACACACAACCATATAAATCTTTGTTTCGTGGAAACGAAGAATTTGATACCTAGCAAGTGGGAATCGTCTTGGGCCCCATTCAGAATAGGGGACTAATCTATATAGGCATAAAAAAAGTTATGGACCGATTTTGATGAAATTTTCAGGAACTGTCAGAAGTGGGCCAAGGAACAGATGATTACTTTTTGGTGGTGATCCGGATCATTAATCAATCAATTATCAATCAATAATCAATAAAAAAAAAAAAAAACTAAATCATTACAGAATGAAAATTTAGGGGTGAAACGGCATTGGGTGGAGACTTTGCTGCCTTGGCGACCGGAGGTCTGCGCTCTCGGAGTGCTTTCCTAGTCTTTATCCTGCAAATATACTCATTCTTCTCTATTCAGACCTCAAAAACATAAAAACTTTTAAAAACTCGCTAAAATAAAAAATACCTGATGTCGATATTTTTTTCTGAAATGTACTGGAAGACATGGCGATCTAATCGTCTAGACATAAACATTCTGACATTCAGAACTTAATTATTTAATTGGAAATGGCATTTATAACATACTAGAAATAGCTCCATGTGGTGGAACTTGTCGATCAATCGTTTGTGAGTAAGAAAAAATTGCTTTTATCTCGTGAAAAATTCGATTCTTTGCGAAAATCCCGGATATGATAGGCCCCTACCTTTACACATAAAAGGTTTATTAGACTTTCAAACACTTCCCTTTTGCACTTACGATCTATATACATCAGTGGCAGATTTAGGGGGGTCACGACCCCGACTTCGATTTCTGAATAAAAAAATCACACCAAAGATCCCCTATTCAAATTAAAATTTTGACTTGCTGAATCATAGTTCTAAGCCGTACCAAAAGGCACCGTTTGACCTCTAAAATACCAAATTTTTTCGGGGCGTTTAGCGGGCCCCGAATCCCACTCCAAGGGGGGGGGG